GCTGAACATGAAGGCAGCAGGGTTGGAATTAAGGACTTGTGATGGTACTTGAGGATTTTAGCCACAACTTTTGATGCTGACATTTTTAATATTAGGACTTAAACGTGTCATGGTAACAGTCAAAACGTCATTACACTCCACAGTGTTGATTCCTGGAGTTTTGTAACACTGCACACAAATTGTTTTATTTCATTGTTACTGATCAGACAGTGCTCAGTGTTGATTCCTTGAGATTTGTAAAACTGGATATAAATGAATTGCAAGTTATTAACTAGCATTTGATTGACAAGCATCAAGTTTTTGCATTTGTTATCCTAAGAACCCGAAAACAAATGAGGTAATTTGTTGTTTCTTGATTGGCTGATAATGGAATGGCCTGAACTTGTTTTGCATTTTGTGTTTTCTATAAGATATTTTTTTGATAATGACTAAATTAGTAATGTGTAAAGTTGATATAATCTGTGTTATTTAGTGTACACTGTTTTTATGTTGACACCTCCCAAAACATTACTAATGAAAACTGCAAGAAACAACATCCACCATCTACTGACGTAGTATTCCCCCTACAACTGATTATGGTCATGTGTTGGTGTCCCACAGGAGGAGTTTCAAATCGGCATCAAACAGCAGCCGCCATCTTGGTACTATGTATCTAACCTGCCAACAACGGGAGGCCAACAGAAGCCAGCCGTGCACCAGTATCTGATAGTGCTTCAGCAGCGTGAACCGTTTGAAGAATCACTGATCCTGCAACCAACTTCCAGCCCAAAGGTCCGGATTCCAGCTGCACTGCCATCGTTGACTGACTTCTCCACCAAGGTGTACTGGATGAAGTCAGTGCTACAGACAGACACCTACACACTGTTCACAGTCTTCAGAAAGTCAGACACGCTTTGTTTTACAACATGTGAGTAAGACATCACCACTATCAAATACACTTGCATTCAACAGCAACAAATATTATATAGTACATCAACCTTATTTCTGGCCCCCCAGTTTTTGGTGATTTAGTTCGCCTGATATGTTTGTATTACTATATGATGAAAATTACATATTTTCTATTTATTTGACCAAACAAGGAAAATCAGTTTTACAGTTTGTCATCTGAAAGGTTTTTCCTTGTTATTATGTAATTTAAAGGGCGTAACAGCAGATGATTAAATGCCTGTATGGTTGGCGTATTATAGCTATATCACAGCATGTGGTAAATAGTTGGAATTGGGCCCAGCAGACCAGTGGTTGATGTAATAAGCAACATCATGTGATATCAGGAATTCCAGGGGGAATTGGGAGGGCAGGGATGAATGTGACCTTCACAATCTACAGGACATGAAAATCATTGCACTTTATATATTTTCAGATTTATCCTTAGACGAAATGAGCACACTTCACACAAGAGCCATGTCACTGGTCCCCAAGAACAAGAAGAGCGACTGTTACTTTGCCATCCCCTACTTCTACAGGAACAAACCCCCGGAGTACTACGCTAACATCTTCAAGAAGCGTGACGGCGTCATGGAGACGTATCGCAAAGACTACAATGGTGACCGAGGCTCGCCCATCAATGGCAACATTGATGGCTTGTTCTTCGGGACAGGCCTTGATCCTAAAACACGACTTCCTCCTGCGTTCTCCTATTATGGAAGACAGCGTCTCTACATGCCAGCTCACATAATCTTTCATGATGCGACCAATCTCTACTTCGCGGACTTCTACTGCCACTATGAGGTGCATTATGTCACTCTGGTTCTCACTGAACCTGGTTCACCAGCTGATGTTTTCTGCCAAAATCGCTTGTTGAAACTTGATCCCTACAACAACCCATTTCTCTTCAAAAAAGCCAAGTATCTCCCTCTGTCCCCGTCCCAGATCTATGTGACTCATAAACTACACGTGGAGGTCTTCTACACCGAACATGTCAACATCGGGGCATTGATGAGGGCAATGCCCATGGAAGTGTTCTTCAGAAATGTACAGCCCATGGGGGCTGGCAAAAGCAAACCTAGTGGAATACCCAAAAATGCAAATTGTAAAATATGCAATCTGAAATGAAATATCAACACAGCTGAACATGAAGGCAGCAGGGTTGGAATTAAGGACTTGTGATGGTACTTGAGAATTTTAGCCACAACTTTTGATGCTGACATTTTTAATATTAGGACTTAAACGTGTCATGGTAACAGTCAAAACGTCATTACACTCCACAGTGTTGATTCCTGGAGTTTTGTAACACTGCACACAAATTGTTTTATTTCATTGTTACTGATTAGACAGTGCTCAGTGTTGATTCCTTGAGATTTGTAAAACTGCATACAAAGTGTCTTATTTCATTGTTATTGATTAGACAGTGCTCATCACAAACAGGTGCTGTAGTCACGGAAACCAATGAACAGTAGAAAGTGCAATCCCAAATGTATTGTGTTACATTTGACCACTTTCTAGATAGGGTGGAACGGTATGCTCTTACCACTGTACGGTACGTATTGCAGTACATGGCCTTCGGTTCGGTATATGAGATATGATCATAATCAGAAAATACAGATCATGATAATGCAGAAAATTGACAACAAGATACCTCTAGCAAAGAAATGAATAGATTTTGACAAAATCATTCGATTTCTAGACATTTTAGAAAAGATTTAAAAGGTTAACAAAATGAGGGTATGAAAACTGAAAATACCAAATTTTTTAATTGCATTACGGTATACCGAACTAATGGCAAAATACTGCGGTTCTACTAATATCTAAATTGCATTGTGTATTCACCCTGTAAACAGGTCAGGGACTCCAACAATCCACGAAAAGATATGTATAACCATAATTGTCAATGAAAAAAACCTTTGTGCACAGGTGTTAGACTGACAAAGTGACATCTAGTCTCTGAAATGAATATATTTTACAGAAGAAAATGCTTCATAACAAAAACATAAAATATAATGAAAGGGACCCTAATACTTTCTTCAGTTTCAGATACTAATTGTCACATACTGGTAATGACAGACTACAGTTGAGTTAATATCTTATCATGCGTCATCACAACAGAACATATATCACCAATAATTATTCAACTGACTGATGAGTATTCAAACTAATCAATGTCAAATTAAAACTAATTCCCATTGTGATGTTGTTTGTATATGTAGTATACAACCAACTAGTAGACTGTTAATTTATTTTAACATTGTTAATGTTGTTATCATGGTTACAGATAAACAGAAATGTGAAGACTATCCACACATTCTGTATGCATGCATTTCACAAAAGAAAGTGTTGACCCGTAAATAGAAATGCCTTTTTCATTATTTTCTCTTCTTTTAGTTTCAAAACAATGGGGTATGCGATCTACACAGCAGGTCCAGTTACCATGGAAACTAATCCTTGCTGGCTTGATAGATTGGCAACATCTTTGTTGCTTACTCACATAAGGTATCTTAGAATATATTTTGCCCCAATTTTTTAAATCCTGAGGCAAAGGGAAGAGCGACATTTTCATTTAAATATAAACGCAAAAACCTGCACAGTCAAACCTTCCGTTAGCATACAAAAAAGCTGAATCTTTTAAAATGTTGCAAAAGTTAGTGTTTGGATTATTCTTAAACTGACAGATTCTTAACAGTCAGTGGATTTTATTTCTGGTTAAGTGGCTCATGTTGACTGGTACAATGTACTTGGTCAATATTTAATGTTAACTGATGTGATCATTTCCAAACCTACCTCAAATGACCATGGGTGCAAACGAGTGAGTGAGTGAGTGAGTGAGTGAGTTTAGATTTACGCCACTTTTAGCAATATCACAGCAGGGGACACAGGAATGGGCTTCACACATTGTACCCATATGGAGAATAGCATCCGGGCCTTTGGTGTGATGAGCGATCACTGTAACCACTAGGCTACCCCACCACCCCTCAAACTAAGCATAGAGACGTAATTTATCAACACAGTATTCCATGAAACCTGCCCCTTACATGCTGGATGAAACATACATCACCAAAAGTGGGCCAGTATTGTGTATTTTGTACTGTTGGTAACTAAAAAGCACTGTCCAAAACCTGAAACTTAGAAAGCCCATTTGCCCAAAATATGTTCAACTATCTGTCAAATAAATCAGAGAAAAGGAGGGTCTACACACAATAATGTGACAAGTCACTTTTACTTCCATGGGTCAGGATTAAATACAAAATATTTTTGAAGCCCATGATATATGTTATAAGTTATGATTCAAAGTCGACACTGGTCATTTTCATGCTTGCTTGAAGGCAACGAAATAATATTTAACCAACTTGGCTGGCACTTTATTATCACAGGTCAGGCAAGTCAGACATACTAAATGAACAACCCTGCTGAGAAAGAAGATTCTAAAACATCTGGATCAATATTAGCAGTGTTCCAATGTTATCAGCTGTGTATTTGGATCATCATCTTCCAAGCAATACACATCAAGCCATACACAACAGGGGTGGAAATAACCCATTGCCCGACGTCCGAGTCCAGTGTTTTTTCTGTCGGGGAAGCAAATTTGTGTATCATGCTGTACCGGTGTCCAGTTGACTTTCCAATGTTAATTATGCAGTTTATTTAAGAAATGGACAAAAAAATAGTCCGGTATAGTGGGAAAATTATCAGGGCAAGTGATTTTACATGTGCCACTGTACTGGAGTACACTAGCAATTTTAAAGTTATTTCCACCCCTGCACAATGATTTCTTTGCGTGAGTGAGTGAGTGAGTTGAGTTTTCGCCGAAATTCAGCTATATGGCGCAGTCTGTAAATAAATGAAACTAGACCAGACAATCCAGTGATCAACAGCATAAGCATCGATCTATGCAATTAGGATACAATGACATGTGTCAACCAAGTCAGCAAGCCTGACCACCCGATCCCGTTAGTTGCCTCTTACAACAAGCATGGGTTACTGAAGATAAAATTCTAACCCGGATCTTCTGAATTGTGACCTATTCTCAAACCAGAATCCAGGGATGTTTGACACAACCTGTAACCTACCTGTAGATGGTGTAGATAGCCAGGACAGCATTCCGCCGGACATATGAATGCCTATGCTCCAGACACTGTCTAATGGCAGGCATAAGAGGCTCCACCAACTCAGGCTCCTTCAGCTTGCAAAGGAAGCGGAGAGTGGAGCCACGGATGAACTCATTTGGATGTTGCAGGTCCTGTGCAGAGAAAGGAGTGAATAGTGAATAAGTATTGTTTATGACAGATATTTCACCAGAAAAGAATTCATACACTGTACCCATGTGGGGAATCAAGTGAGAGACTGAGTTTTTAGTTTTACACCACCTTTAACAATATTCTAGCAATATCACGGCAGAGGAAACCAGAAATTGGCTTCACACAATGTACCCATGTGGGGAATCAATTCTGGTCTTCGGCATGACAAAGCAAAAGCTTTTACCACTAAGCCAACTGACCACCCATGTTCGGAATCGAACCTGGGTCTGCAGGTCAATGAGCAAATGCTTTTAACAACTAAACTATCCCAACGCCCTGCATGAAAAAGGGAACAATATATAGTCACTATGTATACACAGGTTTAGAAAACGTAATGGTTTCAATGACTGAGCATGTGCCCACCTTTCTGTATGCATCACAGACGAGGATCATCTCCTGCATGAGCTTGCCATCAGGTGTGTACTTGGGCACCACCTCCCAGAAGATGAGCAGCATCTTCTTCACCATGTGGTCCTGCATCGGCATCACGAAAAGCGGATGATGGTCATCAGGAGAGATGGCATCTTCTCCCCATTGAGGATCTGCTGAATTGTCTTCTTCAAGGCTTCAACTTTGGTTTTTGTGTCACCCTTTTCTGAAAACACATGAAAGCATGTAAATACTGATTTCTTTCACTAACAGACATATAAGTGAGAATTAAGCCTACCTACTTCAGTTAAATGTCTAGTGAGTGTACTTACTTGTTGGACATGCTGGAAAAATGACAAAATGTATCCTATTCAAACTTTTAAAACCAAGCACACCTAACCAACTGACAGACAAAAGATCACAATTTAATATTCAAAATCGTAACCAGTTTTCTGGAATGACTCACAAGTGACAATCAACAGTACATTGCACACACCAAAGGTTCACAAAGCTTTCTATAACCATGTAACATGAAACTTTGATGTTTATCAATAAATGTTCCATAAGTGTCTTGAGCTGCAGTACCTAAGTCCTGCTTGAGTTGCAGCTCTGTTGGAGGTTCAGAATCTGTGGGGATGTTGATGAGGGTGTAGCAGCCCTGGTCGGACATCTTGCCTGATAGTTCCTGGAAAGACAAGAAAGGAATATTATACAACCTAAACCACATATACATCGCAGTCAACATCAAGAAAGGATTGCAACAAAAAGTATGTTTATTACCTTAAGTAACAGTTTTCACTAAGTTTAAGTTACAAGCATAAGCCTATGTAGTATAGTTCTTAAAAAAACTAACAAGGCTAGGAAGACTCATATGATATTTTCTTGGGAAAATAATCATTAAAACAAAAGAAATGTAGGGTAATCAATTAACTAAAATAAATGAATCAATTAACATCACAAGCAAGACATTAAATGAGGAATATCAAAAAATTTAAAGGGATTATTTCATAAACCTACTGCTGATTAACAATGGTAGCACAGACTAGAAATCATGGCAGCCATCAATGCTACATGCACCAAAAGAAACGTCAGCTCTTTCAGCAATAACCACGAAAATTCATTGTCTTCATGCAGCAAAATAAACATTGCCAAACTGAACAAAGCCGCCTTTCATCACATCATTCTTATAACCATGTATCTGTTTTACATTTTGCCTCCATGATACCTGAGCTGAAAGAATTTATACAGTTATAGAATTTTATATTTTAACGTGTATTTGTATACAAGCAAATACAAACTGATTGGGTAATAGTGATTAAATTTTGCAGGTTTTATGCAAATTTGTAGATGACCATGCTGATTTAGAGACTTGTATTTGAGAAGGGTGCACAGTGTACATAGTGAAAGTGTAAATTATAGATCTGGTGTATTTGAGGGAAATATGCAGTCTGTCCTAGCAAGATGATTCAAACAACACATTACACTATGTGAGCCTGCTGTGGGCATTCCACTGACGAACATTTAGTCTCAGTGAGTGAGTGAGGTTTGTTTTACGCCGCACTCAGCAATATTCCAGCTATATGGCGGCAGTCTGTAAATAATCGAGTCTGTACAAGAAAATCCAGTGATCAACAGCATGAGCATCGATCTGTGCAATTGGGAACCGATGACATGTGTCAACCAAGTCAGCGAGCCTGACAAACATGGATTACAGAAGATCAATACTCTAACCTGGACCTTCACGGATATTTAGCCTCAGGAATATCTCAGTTGAGTATATATATCCACATAAATAAACATGAGTCCAGTGGGTGTTATGTTGTAGTCAAAAACAAAATGTACAGTCAAAGATCAGGCACAGAACAAGCAAATCAGACTTGTCCATTTCAGAGACTAGATGTCAGTCTAGGGTCCTTTCAGGTAACATGGTTGTTGTTGGTTTGTTGTTTAATGCCGCGGTTCTGTAATGTTCCAACTATATGGCGGCAGTCTGTAAATAATCCAGTCTGGACCGGACAATCCAGTGATCAACAGCATGAGCATCGATCAATTGGGATACGATGACATGTGTCCACCATGTCAGTGAGCCTGACCACCCAATCCCGTTAGGCACCTCTTACAGCAAGCATGGGTTACTGAAGATCAATTACAACCTGGATCTTCACGGGTCCATGGTACTAGGGCATCTACACAGACCTGCTGGTATGAAATCCCACTGTGCACTTAATATCATTCTCATGCTGAAAGGGAATTCTTCAAAAACACACAACCACCATCACCAGTTCCACCATTCATATCATTCCATACATATGTAGCACCATAAGAATATTCAGTCCACTTTCTTTCATGCTTAAATACACAGTTGGAATATTGTATATAATACATGTAGCCAGGATGATTACAGAATTCCTCATTGCTTTATAATTTCTTACCAGGATGATTTTTTCAGGAAGAAACAGCTAAACTTTTGTAAAAATATTCTTCAATATTGCAAACATGTCACATTTTGTACAATATAACCTTTATCAATGTAGAAATGACAAAGTTCAAACAATTTTATTATATGGTTAAGAAAATATGCATGACAAGTACAGTTATGCTGGATGTACCATGTTTTATCATTGTTTATAGAAGCACAAAAAAACATGACTGTTCAATTTTTTTTACAAGGATAAGAGAACACCTGGCATGTTTGGCACAAAAATAATTAACTTCTACTTTTCAAACCCAATATACCATGGGAAATTAATATTTAGAGCATTATACATTGTTGATAATCATCATGGTACAGAAATGAAGCAAAGCTTACATAAAAAGTGATCAAACTCTGAAAAGGCTTAACTATCTCATCAAGTGTACATCATTCTATATAGTATAAATCCATGGTGCTTCATATGTATGTGAGGGATGATCCGTCTACTTCTACATACAGAAGGAACAAGACCAAGGCCCAAGGTGCTAGTATCATATTCACGAGCATTGGTGAGTCTAACAGCTATATGGCTTTCTCGATCTTACCCCCGATGTCGACATTTTGTTGTCGTTATATAGTATCTTGCTACTGGACATAAAAATGAAGATACACATATAACTCTAATGTAAAATATCATGATCACCTGACAAGTTTTTTCATGATCATTTGCACGTACACATAAAAAACATATCAAAACGGAAAATTATAATCATGATTGGAGAGCTTTCATCTATTATTGTCTATCGTGTCCAATATTGGAATGAAAGATTAAACCAGATAGAAAGAACATTTGTTATACATCACAATAATAATGCTGATGTTTTTTACATTAAAATCCAAATAAACTTACTTCATATTGGCACAGCAGTAATTTGTAATACAGTTTAAGACACTGTATTGGATCCATGTTCCCAACAACAAATATGTTCACATGTTTCAGTTTAATGAGTGCCTACTTTCCACTTAGAGATTTGGAACACACAGATACAGCAATTTTAAGAGAACATTGCCCTGTTTACAAGTATGTTTACAATGAAAAAGCACCGAGTTTGTGTGACAGTATCTATTGTCTAGTGGTAAAGAGTACTGAAATTAATTCCTTAGAATTGCATTTTATAAAACTGGCAAATTCCGTCCTCATTTAGGCTTTACTCATGCAGCTCTAAGTGGGATCTGAAAATGTGTGTCTGCTAAATAGCAGAACCCCTTTATTGTATAGTTTTCAAAGGATCCACTAAAATTGTGAACATTGACAAACTGCTGGCATTATATTCATAAACATGATATTGATAAACACATATGCTTCAAGACGGGGGCATACTTCTGTAGACCAATGGCACAAGACACATGACACTGCTTTCATAGAAAATTCTACACAGTGTCTTTTTTCTAAATTCTTTATCTATCAATCAAGCACCATTTCCACAAATGTAAGTCTTAAATCAGTTTTCACAGACACACTAACTTGGAAATAGCATATCACTTATCAGGAACAGTGTGACACGAATAAACAGAGTGACACTTGCCAACGTTGTGTTTAGTTATTAGCAAAACACAAAAATATCTCATTCTTGTACATGATAAGTAAAACCACTGATGAGTTAGGAAATAGTGAAAATACTTACGAGTTAATAATATGAAAGACTGTAATAAACACACAACGTGAAAGTGTCACTTATGAAGCACGCAAATTATAAGGACGTGGCCGGCTCAAATTTAACGCCACCTACATCCGTTTTTGTGTGGTTACTTCCCTTGAATGATCTTGCCTCACATTGTGTTTCCCTAGACTCTAATCATTCATTGTCAAGTGCATTTTGAATCCATTCTTTGCAAGTTCACTTTTGACAAGGATAACATTATTTTCTTTCCATTACACACAAAGCCGACCTTCATAATGTGTCAAGTTTATGACAGGATGATATCATGACAAACTTTTACTGAAGTACTTTTCGGACTAATTCTTGCCTCCTATCAGGTAGCTTGATATTAAAAAGAGATACAGATCAAATAAAATCATTATGCCTGTTTATTTATCATGCGTATGAAGGAAATAAGTATTTGTTTTAAAATATGTATACTTCAACAACAATAAATTGTTACGTTTATAATTATGGGTCCAATGTCTTCGAAGAGAATAGGGCAGTGGGGTAGCCTAGTGGTTAAAGAGTTGGCTCGTCACGCCGAAGACACGGGTTCGAATCCTAACATGGGTACAATGTGTGAAGCCCATTTCTGGTGTTCCCCGCCGTGATGTAGCTAGAATATTGCTAAAAGCGGCGTAAAACCAAACTCAGTCAGTCAGTCGTAGAGAATAAAGTGGATTTTTATGGGGGAATTTATGAATGTCAATTTTTTTTAAAATTTGGGTTGGAACACGACGTTCCCCGAGTATATTCTTACTGATTACACAATCCCATTTAGAAAGTGGTCAAATGTAATATATGTTATATTTTGGATTACACTTTCTTAGTTGACCAGATGTCCGACTTCCACTTTTGTGGAAGTCGCGGTGGCTGAGCGGGTTAGGCGACTGACTGTGTGCTAGCGATTAGGTGACTGACTCTGAGGGTGAGGGTTCGAATCCCGGATGGGACTCAAGCCAACAAAAGTACTAGAATCTGCACTTTACTAAGAAATATGTTATATATTCTTACTCCTTCACTTGAATAAGTGTTCCTCAAATAAAGAAGATGACTTCACCTGATGAAGGAATAACAGACAGACACACAATACTTTATTACCTTTAAAGGAATTCGTTTTGGTTCACAGAGCTTGACAAAAATACAAATGAATAACAACATAAAATATGACATTGCTAAAAACATAAAAATATATAAATATGTGCTTAAATAGAAATAAATGAATAAGATGAAAACTGGACATTCAACATTAAATTTGTTTACAATTGCAATACTTTGAGGTACAAAAGACGTTCGAGCTCGTTTAGTCTTGGTGATTCGCACTGTATAGCGGCGGCCCGAAGGTAAAAGCTTATACTCTACATTTAAAAAATGTGTTGTCATTAATGATTTTTTTCAGTCGTTGAAAGTACTTGCCGTTCATAGAGAAGTGAAAGATTATCGAAAGTAACCCCAGCTATTTTACTCGCTGTATTTACAATTTTGTTAAGTTTTGATTTGTTTTTGACTAAAAGAGACTCAACCAGCACTGAGAAGAAAAAGTGAGTACACTCTGAATAAAAGTGGTATAAAACAACATCATAACAGATTGGGAAACGTTAAAAGATCGTAGTTTGTGCATTAGATGGAGGCGTTGTTGACATTTACTATACAGGGCATCTATGTTGGTGTTCCACGTTAACCTGCTATCAATAAAAGTTCCAAGGTACTTGTACTCAGTGACTGTCTCAATTGGTTCATCATTAATGAACAAAGGTGGTACTGTTAGGGAATTAGTTCTGAAATCAATACAGAGTTCTTTTGTCTTTTTCTTTTGTTCTTTTGAATATACTCCGAAACGTGGTGTTCCTGAAATATAGAAGTCGACATCCATAAATTCTCGCATTATTGACTGACTATTCTTCCGAGATATTTCGGCGCCTAAACATTATGAAGGAGTGCGGCAAGGTGATTAGTTAGTAAGAATACCGTTTTGTCTACAGCTGACATAGACGGGAATAAAGGATGGACACTGGTTATTTCTTTCCAAAGAAAACAATCTCAGTTAACCAGAAAATGTAAATAATTCGCCTTCAACAGCATTGCTACTATACAGCGAGCATAAACCCTTTCATGAAGAGGTGACTTCGGACGAGAATATTTGGCAAAGTGCCACTACGGAATTTACTCAAGATACTACCATGTGATATAGGTAGAATTATTTCACCGTAACGTTCAGTTTGTGAAAAATATTTAAAAAGACGATAAGTACGTAATTTATTTCTATTGTCCTGCTCTTGATCATTCCAAACCCCAGAAAATCAATCAAAGCAATCTAACGCCTTCAGATGTTCATGCACATACACACACTTCATACATTACAATTCTGAAAACATCAAGTCACTAGCTATATCAATAAATTTAGTTACTATCTAGTGTTATATGTAATGTACAGCGATTATCTTCTCATGTACCTATTTATTTCAACCTGAATGCACAATTGCCTGTAAATCGACTTTGTATATTTGTGAATCGTGTTTATACCAACCTGTTATACTACCTGTATGACTTGGATGTATGGAGATTCAAAAATAAAAAAATAAAAAGATAAATTTAGTTACGCGAGTTACTATAGTATATTGTTATAGTGCAAATATTTCACTAATATTTCACACACAAAAGTATAATAACTATGATATGAAATTTATATGAATTTACAAAAGTTCCTATGTTGTGATTTTCCGCACACAAACGAAAGTAACTCACTCAGGTTGTAAAATACATGCCGCCAGACATGGACATACTGTAGACAATAGTTACTGTTTGCACGGCAGTTACCGGCTGCATGTCACTTCCTGATTGACACGCTGACCACGCTTGCGCGCGTATAGGTACCAAGATCTGTCCTTAGAGAAATCTATTATGTAAAACCTTATAAAATTAACTGATCTGTTTATCGATTCCGATTGTCTATAATATATTGATCGACTATTATAACAGGGAGGATCCTCTTAACGCCTGGTGCTAGGTTTCAAAGTTAGTGTATGTCAATATTGGCGTGGCTGTGCTTATGATACGGATCGATCTCACATTAAAACATTTATGCGTGGTGTTAGCGTGAGTGGGTGAGTTTAGTTTTACGCCGCCTTTAGCAATTTTCCAGCAATATCAAGGCGAAGGACACCAGAAATGGGCTGCACGTGGTGTTAGAAATAATACAGTAATAGTGAGTGAGTTTAGTTTTACGCCGCTTTCAGCAATATTCCAGCAATATCACGACGTGGGACACCAGAAATGGGCTTCACACATTGTACCCATGTGGGAATTGAACCAGGGTCTTCGGTGTGACGAGCGAACGCTTTAACCACTAAGCTACCCCACCGCCCCTTATACAGTAATAAGAATAGATATTAAATATATACTTAGCTAGACAGATGCCTGAGATGGGTTAACTTAATTCCAGCGGAAAGTCATAATATTAACTCCTTTTTTTGTAATAAGAACCAATACGATAAAATGAAGTTTGGAAATTAACTATTTCTACTAAATCTACCTAAAGGTGTATTAGCAGATCACATATTAGTTTTGATAGAGCCTAGTTAGTGAAGTTGAAGTGGGGTTTAGTGGTTAAAGCGTTCGCTCGTCATGCCGAAGACACGGGTTCGATTCCCACATGGGTACAAAATGTGAAGCCCATTTCGAGTGTCCCCCGCCATGATACTGCTGGAATATTGCTGAAAGCGGCGTAAAACCATACTCGCTCACTCACTCACTGAATTGGTTAGAATTGGTCTTCAGCAACCCATGCTTGTCAAAAGAGGAAACTAACAGGATCTGGTGGTCAGGCTCGTTGACTTGGTTGACACAATCATGTCACCGTATCCCAACTGCGTAGATCGATGCTCATGTTGTTGGTCACTGGATTGTCTGGTCCAGAATCGATTATTTACATATCGTCGCCAAATAGCTGGAATATTGTTAAGTGTGGAGTTAAACAACAAACAAACAAAAACAACTCTAACGTTTTCTCTTAACGCTTTTCAAAGCGTTGTACATAGCGCTGTCTTTATGTATCGTTAATATCCGTATCCTGTTCTTCTCAATGTGCTTCAGCAGCAAATGGTTAGACTGACACCTTAACATCATCAGAGACAGGTCAAGAAATCGATTTCCAATGAAGAAGAGTGCGCATGCATAAGCTTCTGTTTACAATTTGAAGCTTAAAAACCAAACCGCGTTGCTAACAGCGGATGTACCCTCGAAGTACACTGCCGTCAATATTTCAATAAAGTGTCCATTGGCCATGTCTTTGACACACCCTGTTCTAGTTTGCCAAACACTTGTTTCACCTTCCCCTTGTTCTCTGCCAACATGGTACCAACACCAACCCAGAGCAAACACATACCCTGAGAAAGATCACAGTAAACTTTTCAGAATCAATCAGTACCATGGCAACGCATGGTCTCGTGGAAAGAAACAAAACTGTGTAAATACTTTCTCATTTTGACTCATATGAAGTATCTTTGTGCTATGTGCGAAGTAGAAAATGTATAATAAATTATGCACACAACCGCCGCTGTCTGGGTAAATACCCGGTTTCAAGAATCGGGCGTGTTTGTAACGATTTCCCAGCCTTCTTACTTATCATCGAGAGCTCTCCCATCAGCCCCAGGCTACGTTACCATAGGGCTTGTCAGTCTGATTGTTTCGTATCCTTGGTTTCAAACCATATATATATGACGTACGGGTGTTTGGCTATACAAACTGTTCTTCGATTGGATATGACTAGCTGTGTAGGAATTTGTATGGTTTTAACCAAGATTTACTAAGCAACAAGGTTTCGAAATCAAAGTCATCATTACTTTGATCGAGGGACACTGGAAGCATCGAAGGAGCCGCCTGAAGACGTTATTGGACATTGTTCGCGTCAGTATCTTACTGACCTGGTTCTTGATACTTCTACAAGAATCACAGGGACGATCTTTGTCAGTTGTGTCGTGGTGAAAGGTGTTAATCTGGATTGTCAAAATGCGCACACTCGTCTTTCTCAGTGTTTTCCTGATACAGTCTGTCAACGCTGCCTACGTTGACGACCTTCGACGTCTGTACAACGAAGTGATTGACGTCAACAATCCCTGGCTACGCCCTGCTCTAAACAACCTTCCTACAAAGGTATCAATCATTTTCTTCTCACTGTCCTCCATCTCCCTCGATGACGTCACGCAGACGATGTCTTCATCCGGGTATCTTTGTGTCACCTGGCTGGACGAGTTCCTGAACTGGCCAGCGGGTAACTACAGTGGCATAAGCAGCCTCTATCCAAACCCGAACAAAATATGGCGTCCGACCCTTGCCGTGAAAAACTCCATCGAGAAAGCGACGCCATTCCGGGCCGACTTCATGTACACCACGGTCACGGCTAACGGGGAAGTGCTGTGGTACCCTGGTGACGTGTTCCAGACTGTTTGTGAAATGGACGTTTCAAAGTTCCCATTTGATACCCATGTTTGTAACATAGACTTGACCCTATGGCGTTCAACACCAACGGAGGTAGATCTTCTGCTCTCAAGTGGTATGAAATTTAATATGGACGAATTTGTGGAAAACAATCTTTGGCAACTTGTCGAGCAGAAGGCAGAGCGAATCAACAATAATAAATCCTACCCATTCGTGAGACTGACCTTCACCTTGAGACGGCTGCCTCGCACCTACATCACAAACGTCGTGGCCCCCATCTTTGCAATCGCTCTCCTGAACGTCTTCGTCTTCCTCATCCCCTCCCAGAGCGGAGAGAAGATCCAGTTTGGCATCATGGTCCTCCTGGCATACGCCATATTTATGAGCTACTCCGCAGAGACGCTGCCTCAAAGCTGGAACACGTCCTCCACCATCGGCAACTATTTCCTTGTCCTTGAAGTGTTCTGCGTCATCTACATTCTCCTCAGCATCCTTTCCGCCACCATCTACGCCCGCGAGGACTTCCACCACGGCATCTCACCAACCCTGGCGCGTGTGGTGGAAAAAATGGAGAAGATCTTCCTCTGTAGATGCTGCAAGAAGAGACCGTCAAGCTCATCCACCATTGAAGTCTCCCCAGCAGATGAACCGTGCTCCCATAACGGGAGGGAGCTGGAGTTTGGGACCAAGAGACCACTTCCGGTCAGACGTATTCCAGAGAGGATTGAGATGAACTGGAAGAGGGTGAGCAGGGCTTTCGACATGCTCTTCTTCTGGCTGTTCCTGATCATCGTCATCCTCAGCATGATCGGTGTCATGAGCTACATCACACCAATGATCAACTTCGACAACGTCAAATCAACTTTTAAGAACTGACAAGTGATATAGGCCTTTCGTGTATAAGGACGAACAGAATGTTCACTGGTTCAACTGTTGACACGGATCACACCAAACCCACTTGGTTTTTACGGAACTGAGAGTTGTATTGGTTCGTGCTTGTTTTTTCACTGAGAACTGACAGACCTTGGCCTTCTATGGAAGGATAATTCGAGTGTTAGATATTGACTGTTTCTGATGGGTTATATCAGAAAGGCAGGACTGTCTGTTGTAAGGCATCACTTGTGGCGCTGGCACACACGCAGTAATAAGCTTTACAAGGTTTGTATGTGAACGCGTAACATATTTTTATACCAGCAATCCAATTGCAGATTTTAAAATGTCTCTTTTTGTTGGTTGGCGATATTCCAGCTATATGGCGGCGGTCTGTAAGTGATCCAGTCTGGACCAGACCATCCAGTGATCGACAGCATGAGCTGACACGTGGCAGCCAAGTCAGCGACTCTGACCACCCAAACACGTCAGTCACTTCTTACGACAAGCACGTGTTGCTGAAGACCCGGATTTTCACGGGTTGTTGTAGTGATGTAGATCTATCAACAGACTGATCATAGACAGTAATCATATCACTCTTGTGGACTGAAAATGTGGCAAATAGATGAATTCTTGGGGAAGGGGTAGGCCGGTGAAATAGGAGGGTGTTGAAAGATTGTTGTCACAGAAAATATGTCAGATGTATTTGTATGGTTTTGCAATTGTAGTCAATATCAAGTCTCATACAATGTCAATACAATATCAAGTCTCATACAATGTAAATACAATATCTAGTCTCATACAATGTCAGTACAATATCAAGTCTCATACAATGTCAGTACAATATCAAGTCTCATACAATGTCAGTACAATATCTAGTCTCATACAATGTCAATACAATATCAAGTCTCATACAATGTCAGTACAATATCAAGTCTCATACAATGTCAGTACAATATCTAGTCTCATACAATGTCAATACAATATCAAGTCTCATACAATGTCAGTACAATATCAAGTCTCATACAATGTCAGTACAATATCTAGTCTCATACAATGTCAATACAATATCAAGTCTCATACAATGTCAGTACAATATCTAGTCTCATACAATGTCAATACAATATCAAGTCTCATACAATGTCAGTACAAACTCGTCGGCCTCTAAGTACCAGAAAAAAGTAAGGTCTGTTTTAAGGGACATTAGAAACAATGCATCGTTGTCCCTATATGTTGTATAGCAGAGTAGTGAACTGTTTCGTATTAAAGGTGACATATCGCCAGACTTGCTGGCATGGACATACAATATATAGTTAAATCTACTTACATTTATTTGTATACATTTCGTTTGAAGTGAATCCGTTTGTATAAACGTTAAATATACTTCTATTATACAAACACGTACTTCGTACATACCTTGCGTTCGGTTTGAAAATCGATTTCATATAACAGTCTCTTTTTTCCGCACATACAAATTGATGATGTTATTTTGTTTTGATTACATATGGTGTAATTACACATCGCATCAATAGATTTTGCACATTAGTTTTGTGTTTTGAGTAAAAAGAATTTTCTAATTCATTTGCAAGCATACCGCAATGAGTGCCTTATGTTGAATATATTTAACCACGTGACTTAGATCAATATTTAAGTTGTATTATCGAAAGACGGTACTCCTGGCTGTCGAGTCACATGAATTTGCAAAACACTTTAGCCTGTACACTCATGCATAGTTTGCTAGTTTTGCGGTTTCTACTTTTACGTATTGTATAATGTGACTGGAGAGATTTAGTATATTTATTCGTGACTTGGGTGTTTTTATTTACCATACAGCTGTGCAAGATTTCTCTGTCATTCCCACACTGGAATATCACGTCAATGCCTTTTTAGTGCCAAACTGAAATAGATTAGACGATTGTAATTTTTCATCGGTGATTACCCAGAAAGTAAACTGGTCGTTGGACATGCTGGCTGTCCGGAAAATAGAAATATTTCATGAATTAATTAATCGGTTCTGATACCGTACACTTCCCACACACACACACACACAAAGAATATACCCCAACAAAAAAACAGCAAGAAGCAAACAAAAAAACACACACAAAAACCAAAAAACCAAACAAACAAACAAACAAACAAAAATACAACAAAAAACAAAACAAACTCAACAACAAAATACAACAAACAAACCAACCAACCAACAAACAAGAAATAACAAAAAAAACGAAGCCAACATATTGTCTCTTATAGGGACCACCCAGTCCACCCCAACCCACCTCATATACACTCTCTCTCTTCCTAAGGATACACAATGGATGCTCCTGTACAATGGCTGAATTTAATTGTATATATCAACTTAATATGATGATGCAATGTAACAATCATTATTGTACTTGTAGATTATTCGCTACTGTAATGTTGAAGTGAGACTGCCTAACATATTGCTGCTATCTGTAATGTACATATTGGTATTGATTACACGTGTATGCTGGTTTATTGGAGGCAACCGTTATAACCATAATGTACAGTAATATGCAATGCTGCAATATAGCTTCCTCTTGGTTAGTTAGCTGTAATATATGTAACATACTGTGCACATACTTGATGTAAACTCCATATTGTAATAATGTTACTTTGGGTCATTGAATAAATCGAACTATTATAACTTTTCTCGTTTTGACTGTGTTAATGCGTATGTGTGTGTGTGTGTGTGAGAGAGAGAGAGAGAGAGAGAGAGAGAGAGAGAGAGAGAGAGAGAGAGAGAGAGAGAGAGAGAGAGAGAGAGAGAGAGAGAGAGAGAGAGAGAGAGAGAGAGAGAGAGAGAGAGAGAGAGAGAGAGAGAGAGAGAGGACACATATGGTCAGTGATATATCCGCGACTCATGATTTGTTTTACATCAGTTACACATGTGATCAGTTCTATATCAGTGACACATACGATCATTTTTATATTCATATCTGTGACACATACGATCATTTGTATATCCATATCCGTGACACATACGATCGTTTTTATATCCATATCTGTGACACATACGATCATGTTTATATTCATATCTGTCTGTACGATCATTTTTATATCATATCCGTGACACATACGATCATTTTTATATTCATATCTGTGACACATACGATCATTTTTATATTCATATCTGTGACACATACGATCATTTTTATATTCATATCCGTGACACATACGATCATTTTTATATTCATATCTGTGACACATACGATCATTTTTATATCATATCCGTGACACATACGATCATTTTTATATTCATATCTGTGACAGATCATTTTATATTCATATCTGTGACACATACGATCATTTTTATATTCATATCTGTGACACATACGATCATTTATATATCCATATCCGTGACACATACGATCATTTTTATATTCATATCTGTGACACATACGATCATTTTTATATCCATATCTGTGACACATACGATCATTTTTATATTCATATCTGTGACACATACGATCATTTTATATTCATATCTGTGACACATACGATCATTTATATATCCATATCCGTGACACATACGATCATTTTTATATCCATATCCGTGACACATACGATCATTTATATATCCATATCCGTGACACATACGATCATTTATATATCCATATCTGTGACACATACGATCATTTTTATATTCATATCTGTGACACATACGATCATTTTATATCCATATCTGTGACACATACGATCATTTTTATATTCATATCTGTGACACATACGATCATTTATATATCCATATCTGTGACACATACGATCATTTATATATCCATATCCGTGACACATACGATCATTTTTATATCCATATCCGTGACACATACGATCATTATATATCCGTGGTACTTGCCTCGCACATTCATCTTAACTTTCTCGATACCTATGTAATGATGCTCTTTATCCCCGTTTGCCCCATGACACCCTTCATATCGGGTACATCTATGTCATACTTGTTATATCTGTTGTACCAGAGACACCCCTCTGGTCGTCACATCCACGATATTTGCTATATCCGTACTCTATAAATCCACTACTTCCACAATGCCCTCGAAATCCGTGACACCTAAGGTACTCTATATATCGTTTACACCCACAATGCCCTTTACTACTATGACACCTAAGGTACTCTATATATTCTTTACACCCACAATGCCCTTTACTTCTATGACACCTAAGGAACACTTTATAACCACCACAGTCACAGTGCCCTTTATATCCGTGCACAGGCTAATTGTAGCTCACTTAGGGTTGCGCAACAAAGAGAAAATGACCTGTCTTTCCATATGCGAGCGATGGGAAGACTGGTAATTTTCTCTTTGTTGCGCAACACCTATTGCGCTACAATTTGCCTGTGATCCGTGACACCTAAGGTACACAATATATCCACCAAACCCACAATATCCTTTATACCTGTGACATCCTTATAACCGTTACATGTATATGGCAGCCTCTATACCTACATGTAATGCCCTTCACACCATTTATATGATGTCCTTTATCCTTAACAACAGTAATGGCTGACTGAAGTTAGCTTCGGTCAGTGAATGATTGGGTGGGTTGGAGTGAGTGAGTGAGTGAGAGTTGTATGCTGCTTTTCTTAATATTCCCGCAGTATCACTGCAGGGGACATCAAACATGGTTTTACACATTGTACCCATATGGGAAATGACCGCCACTCCTGGGGTTAACGGAATGACCACCTGCCTACCCTTCACGTCTATATAACGCTACTGTTCAATCTGGTTCCTGGTAAAATTATATCATTCTTTCATCTTCCATCCGGCTATAGTTAATGATGTATTGTTACGATTGAGACCCACCAGCTCCCAGCCAACACGTGCATCGGCCTGACATCTCTGGGCTGACCGACTTGCAGAAGCCATGATACAGCCATTACCCTGTAACGTACGATCCTGAACATATGTCTGTGTATTTAAACAAAGCTGAAATACATACGGTAAGTAACAAGTGGTAAGTTAATATTGACTGGCGACAAAATAGTAGAAAACAGACTGCTCACTCAATAGTAGACTGAGAAGAGAAATCTAACCCCTCCCTCCAAAACAATCCCGAAAAAATACAACAAAGACCCAAGCACACTCCGGGCCTCTGATTAGCCAATTACCTGTGAATTGTGAATTATCATGTTTGTACATATATACATATGTATATAGTAGATTATCCTTGTGTGTGTATGATAAATACACACATCTGTCAGGGCTGTGGGCACACAATTGGCAATTAACACCTCTTTATAACTCAAATACAGGTATTTGTCCGGCACGCGTAATTATCGCGGATGCAAACCGGCGTCCCCGTTATAACGCGCCTCCAGTGCGAATGGATTCCAACTGGATTTCTGCGATCGAGAAGACGCACGGTTGATGATGCAGTGATGATCGGTACTGCCCAGCAAGACTGGTCGTTATAGCGAGGTATGCACCATGTTATAATGCCACTTACTTGTCTATATGCATGCGATGGATGTATATGTAACGTTGTGTATGTTTTGTGTGGTTCAAGGCAACTCGGGCAAAGGGACTGCCACTTCGGAAGTGATATTTATTCCATGTCTCCCACGTGATGTATATGACTTTCAATATATAAGACCATTTTTCTCTTACTCACAAAGACAAGCTTTTGAATTGGATGATATTCACAAATGGTGGCGTATATTGTGTCTGTGAATCTCCGCGAAATAACGCACTTCTGATTGACGCCATTTGTAGAAGCAGTTATCGATCGGCGACTACATTATGCAGATTGCAACCATTGTGACGATATCGCCGCAGTGCAGCCGGTGTCTGTTGGCTATTTATAGTAACACGTCACATGACTACAATCACGTGACTGTAAAAGCCGCGAGCGCTCTTGCTGCTGGCAACATCTGTGGCCGTGTATTAATAAACGTCTTTTATGTTGCAATACTGTATTTTTAAATCACCGATTTTAGTTTTTTATTATTAAGATCCCGCAACTTGGCGTTTATTCTAGGCAGTTTGATGAACAAACACTATAGTTTATAGTTAAAAATTAGGTGTATGTGTGTGTGGTGTACGTAAGAAACTCTTACCGCGGACGTTTATCCCTGGACTTTGGTCACCCCAGTTAATGTAATGCGAGAATTGGTCTTGTGCAACCCAGATACTTGTCGCAAGAGGCGACAAAGGGGATCAAATGGTTAGGCATGCATGTCATCGTATCCCAGTAGTGTACATGGAGAGTGTCGGTCAGTGGTCAGAATGTTTGGTCAAGACTGGATTAATTACCGACCGCCGTCATATAAATAACTGGGGAAACAATTTAAACATATTTCTTTCATTGCACCAAACGAGATTCTAAAGACGTACTGCACGTGCATTCCTTGCACTATGTGATATTTGTCTTGCGGATCAGGTCCAAGTTCAAGGATGACAGCAATCTGGAGGGTAGGGTGGAGGTGGGAAGCTGAGACCGAAAGCATGTTAATATACTCGTTTTGGGCCAGCGACACGTATCTTTAATTCAATCACCGTGACCAGATTCAAATATTTGAACTGATGATGATGATGATTTGGAGATATTACGTGCGCCAGTCACCACTATGGTAATTAAATCAATATGTTTCAAACCTGGCCTCCCCGTAAGGTAATGAACTGATCCTACCCGCCGACACTTCCTGCAACCACGCATAAAAAAATGTATACTCACGTGCAGCACGCTGTGTACCTATGAAATGCCCAGTGGCATATAGTTGTCGACAAGTGATGTCATGCTCAGAGCTCACAATAGTGTTCCTCAGCTTGTGTGCTGTATACGTTTGTGAGTGAGTGATTTAAGTTTTACGCCGCTTTTAGCAATATTCAGCAATATCATGGCGGGGACACCAGAAATGGGCTTCAAACATTGTACCCATGTGGGGAATTGAACCCGGGTCTTCGGAGTGACGAGCGAAGCCTTACCACAAGGCTACCCTACAGCACCGTATACATATTCAGACGCCTGGGCGGCAACATTTTTTAGTTTAAGGGGCGGTGGGGGTAGGCTAATGGTTAAATCGTTCGTTCGTGACGAAGGAGACCAAGTTTCGATTCCCCATATGTTTACTGTGTGTGAAACCCGTGAAGTTCCGGGTTAGAATTGGTCTTCAGCAAACCATGCGTGTCGTAAGAGGCGACGAATAGACTGTCAACACATGTCATCGTATCCCAGTTGCGTAGATTGATGCTCAAGCTGTTGATCACTGGATTGTCTGGTTCAGACCCGATTATTTACAGACTGCCGCCATATAGCTGGACGAGTGCGGCATTAAATGCAAGCAAAACAAACTAACGAATGTTGGCCCAGCCCGGGCCATGCGTTTGGGGGCGTTGAGTCTTGAGAAAAGATCGGACTCTGGACAGTAATTTCGAGGCCTCTGACAATAACTGGTTATCAAAAACTTTTTGAACTCTCAACTCCTGGTTTGGCATGCTGGCAGAGTGACTGAGTAAGATTTTACGCCGCTTTAAGCAATATTCCAGCAATATCACGGCGGGGAAAAAATGGAGTTCACACATTCTACCCTTGTAACACTTTAACCGGCTGACCGAAGTGACCAAAATGACGCTATCATTTCAGGAGAGAACCCCCACCTCATGACTGTCACATCCGGGGAACAGATCCAAGATGGCGCTCAGTCCTCCAACGATACTGATCATCGCACAAGCTGTCGTCATTGCAGCGTTCCTGCGGGTGTACTTCTTCCCCGACGAGGATAGCGGCCTCGACTTCGGTGGTCCTTCAGCCAGAATCACAGCCTACATCAACGACTCATACGACTACATCATTGGTGAACTATATTCTTCCAAACTTCGTTCACTGTCATGATTTACAATAAAGATGGAATAGGAGTGAGTGGGGTTTAGTTTTACCAGAAAGGGGCTTCACACAATGTATCAATATGGAGAACTGAACCCGGATCTACGGCGTGACGAGCGAACGCTTTAACCACTAGACGACCCCAACGCCACTGGAATAGTAACCAAACCAAAACACATGGCTGTAGATTTGTGTGACGCAGGGACGTACGTAGCTTAAGCTACTTTCGAACGTCATTGTTCTTCATCCCTAAGTAATACCCCGTAAAATTCATGACAATATGTCTTCAGTAACCTATGCATGGTCGTCGTACTGGAGCTTAATAATAAGGATAAGACCCGTGAAGATCCGGGGTAGAATAGGTCTTCAGCAACCCATGCTTACCACAAAAGGCGACTATGCTTGTCGTAAGAGGCGACTAACGGGATCGGGTGGTCAGGCTCGCTGACTTGGTTGACACATGTCATCGGTTCCCAATTGCGCAGATCGATGTTCCTGCTGTTGACCACTGGATTGTCTGATCCAGACTCGATTATTTACAGACCGTCGCAATATAGCTGGAATAATTCTGAGTGCGGCGTAAAACTAAACTCACTCACTCACTCACTATTAATAAGGATAAGGTGATTGCAATAGGTGGCCTGGCTGACCTCGTACATCGAAGACGTGGCGTGTTGCAGATGTTGTCGACCCAAGGCGTACCTCGGGCCCACTCGGGAAGGGGATCTTTGCCGGAATTTTGTTGACAGTGGCGTAAAACAATATTAACTCACTCGTACAAAATGAAACAGCTGAATATGGGTGTCTGGCGCATTGTGCAGCATTCCTGCAATGTCACGGAGGTGATTCACATTTCTCATTCACATCATATCCATACTAATAATCACATTCTGGTCGAAGAACACTTTAACCATCTGTTCTGGTCGTAGAACACTTTAACCATCAATTTTGGTCGTAGAACACTTCAACCATTGCACTTCCCACTGCAAGTTCATACGTCTGTAGGGCGGTTAAAGCGTTCGCTCGTCACGCCGAAGACCCGGGTTCGATTCCCCACATGGGAACAATATTTAATCCCATTTCTGGCTTCTCCCTCCGTGATATTACTCGAATATTGCTAAAAGCGGCGTAAAACTAAACCGACTCACTCAAACGTCTGTGATGTGTATCCCAACTCACCTGCCCCCCTCTACACACACTCCCACGTTCTTAACGCTTTTGCCCAAAACTCACTCACTCACTCAGTTTATAGAACCACTGTAACTCCTTTTGTTCTTGTAGTGGGAGCAGGGACTGCTGGTTCCGTCTTAGCCAATCGTTTATCCGAGAAGAGTCACGTGACGGTACTAGTTCTGGAGGCGGGTCCGTCAGATCAGAACAGCCCGATACTGGACATCCCAATAGCTGCCTCGTATCAAGTCAGGAAGTCTGACGTCACCTGGAACTATCTCACTGAGACACAGAGACATTCCTGCAAGGCCCTGGAGGATCAGGTATGTGCCATCAGCTTTAGAAGCAGTCATGAGCTTGAACATGTTTTTGACCATGTACTATTATAGAAATGTTCCCAATTTCCCAGTGCGTTATTATTTGAATAATAATCAAGAAATGGTCATCCAATGTTGAAGTATCACACCACCATCGAGCAACCATTTCTAGTTTTGTTTTCTTTTTGCCACCAAAAACAAGAGTGCATGCAATTATCTTGTCCAGCATTGTATGTTTCTAGGGGTTGTGGGGTAGCCTAGTGGTTAAGTTGTTCGCTCGTCCATACCTGACTGTTTGATCAAGAGGCGACAAAGGGGGGTGGGGTAGCCTAGTGGCTAAAGCGTTCGCTCGTCACGCCGATGACCCGGGTTCGATTCCCCACATGGGCACAATGTGCGAAGCCCATTCCTTGTGTCCCCACCGTGATATTGCTGGAATATTGCTAAAGACGGCATAAAAGTAAACTCACTCACTCATTTTATGTTTCTGGCGACAAAGCCAAGACGGAATTTGTAACGGCCGCTGTTGCAACACGTTAATATATAGTCAACAGGCATACTGCTTTGGATATGAAAATGTGTCCTAGGGAACTTGGCTTAACGCCCTTTTCCACAGTATTACCCTACAGTATTGGTGATGCGGGTCTCAGTTGATGAAACCCACGAGCATGTGTATGGCACTGATATCCTAATCACCCTGGAGGATCGGGAATCGAACCCAAGACATTCGAGTCCGGCACACACTAGGGACACAGCTCTGCACGGCGCCCTAGACAACTTGGCCACTCGTGTTCCGAATGTGGCCAGAAACTTTTCCACTATATAATGAATTAGATTTTCATTTAAATATATTAATATTAATGCCTACAGAAAGGTTTCCAAACGTAACCTGTTATGTCTAAAGTTTTAAACGAACCATGTGTAGAAAATATCACTGAATGTCACATCTTGATGTCCATTTCCAGAGAGGTCGTTTGGTATCGGGAAAGGTTCTTGGTGGAACCAGCCAGGTGAACAACATGGTGTATGCCAGAGGTCATCGCCATGACTACGACAGCTGGGCAGCCAATGGGTGTTCAGGGTGGAGCTACAAAGATGTCCTGCCGTATTTCAAGAAGTCAGAGACTATGCAAGATCCAGACCTGGCGAGATTGAGTACGTTAATTTGCATTATGTTAACTTTTAATTTCATGTTACGATACAGAGTATTAAACGTTCTTGACACCGTGTTACTGAACAGAAAATCCGGTCATTGTAATTAGGGACTTGCAGTGTGTTGTTTAAGATTTTCGGTAATAACCCAACTTAACAAACACCGTGAGGGTCATTAAAGAAAATAATCACTTTTGTAAATGTGCAAGACTGTATTCCAAGTTCGAACATAGCTCCCGAAAAGTTGTTCCCTGTGGTGTTTCGCTTGTCCCTTGGTTATTTCACACCCGCTCAGTAGGTGTTCCAGGCTTTGAATATTATCTTGCACCGTTCTTTATGAACTTTATGTGTACTATGAAAACATACAACCACGTCAACACTGCTTTGAGAGGCGGACAAGTGACTGTATGTGAATCTGACGCTGTATATGTACACGAAACCGGATCCGGATGTGAGCATCGTGCTCCAGGGGAGTTGGTCCTCACTGGTAAAGCATCCAAATTCGAACTTTTGGTAGTAGTGAGAACAGAAACTTCAGTTACTTTTCATCACTTTCCAGTTTCGTGTCTGTGTGTATGAGGGAAATACCATGTTCCACCATGTATAAACATGACATTGACTTGATGACGTTTGTTTTAGAGCGCCATTCCCACAGAGTTTTTCGGAAAATGTCTCGTCCTAATATTGACGTGCCTGTTGTTATTCCCAGTACACCATGGGAGACGTGGACCCCTGGCCGTGAGAACTGACCGGTTCACATCCCTAGGGGAGGTGTTCGTGAAGGCGGGGCAGGATCTGGGATACGCCCATACTGACACCAATGATGGAAACCAAGAAGGTTAGCCAGTGGTGCCCAAATGTAAACCAACTACAAGCAACACACAGAATGATGTGTTGCAGGATACGCACAGTAATTTGATTTCTGACTAAACTGGAGCGGTGGGCAGCTTATAGTTGTTAAAGCGTTCGCTCGTCACGCTGAGGCCTCGGGATAGCCGACTAGTGGGAACGGGGGATCAAGCTCGCTGACTTGGTTGACACATGTCATCGTATTCCAATTGCGTAGCCTTGTGGTTAAAGCGTTCGCTTGTAACGCCAAAGACCCGGGTTCGATTCCCCACATGGGTACAATGTGTGAAGCCCATTTCAGGTGTCCCCCGCCGTGATATTGCTGGAATATTGCTAAAAGCGGCGTAAAACCATACTCACTCACTCACCCAATTGCGGAGATCGATGCTCATGCTGGTGATCACTGGATTCTCTGGTCCAGACTCGATTATTTACCAACCTCCGCCATATAGCTGGAATATTGCTGAGTGCGGCTTTTAACAACAAATGCACAAAACCCTGAAACGGGAATGCGTTCGGCAAGCAGCTACAACACACTCCACATACACGCACGTATACTACATACCAGGGACATGGCGTATGAACGACACGCACGCACGCACACGGACACATGCATACACACGTACATGTACGAGGGATAGTATGTTGAACACACACACACACACACACACACGCACACACACACACACACACACAACTACCTCCCCACCACTCTCTGACGTGTGTGGTTGCCCGCAGGGTTCGGCTACGGGCAGTCGACGGTCAAGGACGGACGGAGGATGAGTACGTCCAGGGCCTTCTTGTGGCCGGCCATGACTCGACCTAAACTCCACGTCACCGTCAACGCACATGTCACTAAGGTAACCAGCTTTACGTTATTGATGATGTCATGAAAGTTATCCAGGGTAGCCTTATCTACAAGGACCTAATGTTCCCTTTGTCCATGGAGGAAATATGTGATGTCATGTGTAGCAATCAGTTTAGGTCCTCTGTGGTGAAGGAAATTTAACAATGCATGACGTGGAAGCCATTTGTTTCATCCAACAAAAAAATGATGGCTTTCTACATCTTGCCCGCAGCGCACTCGCAACTAAATAAACCAGTGGAAACGCCATTAAATTTCAATGATCGTCATTGAATTTTAAATGAAACAAGCACGTTTTTGTGCATTCTAGCAATGTGTGTTAGTTACGAACGGGTTGTAGGTCGAATGACTATATTAAGGTATGGGGAAATTATCGCTTTTGTGACCAGGACCTCCTTTCACAAAGCACAAAGGTGATCGTAAGTCACTAAAGAATGGGAGTTAAGGTTAACCTTAGTAATTGTTGCTTCGTGAAAGGAGCCCCTTGACTGTGGATGAACTCACTGATCATGAGCATGATGTAGAGTCGTCTGGTCCCCGCAGGTGTTGCTTGAGGACGGCCACGCCGTAGGTGTTCAGTACGTCCAGGACGACAGCGTGAGGACAGTGAGGGCCAGAAAGGAGGTCATTTTGTCTGCTGGAGCTGTGGGGTCGCCACATCTACTGATGCTGTCAGGAATAGGCCCCCGTAAACATCTGGAATCAAAAAAGGTATTCTGAATGTGTCGCACTATTAAGGATAGATGCAATCGGGTGGTCTGGGTCCCGATCCACAAAGCGTTCGTAGCGCTACGACATTCGTAAGCCTATGGTAAACTATAGAGTTACGACAGGTCGTAACGTTACGAACGCTTCATGGATTGGGACCCAGGATCGCAGACTAGATTGGTGGATACTATGGTATCCAAGATACGTAGGTCGGAACTCATGATGCCAGTTACTAGATCGTCTGATCCAGATTCGCTGATTTTCACTGATACGTAGATCGATGGTAGTGATTTGAGTCACAGGGGTGGCTGATCCAGACCTTATTATCTAATATCTTTCACCATCTAGGTGAGGTATTGCTAAGTGCGGCCTTCAACGACATACAAACAAATTAATTGAAAAGTTTACAGCTGTTAGATTCAAGAACCAATAAACTTTGTGTTTTGTTACTCTTTTAACCATTACATATGAAAGATTTGTGGTTAGTCTTATGCGGAACACCAAATTTATTCTTTAAAAACTTGTGGTTAATTAATACCGAGCGATTAAAAGTGGCCAAAAAGTCGCCTGCTTCCCTCTCGCCCGCCAACGAAACCAAAGACAGGTTACGTAACTCTGTCGCCAGAGCACTGCAGTGACGTCATATGAGGAACGATTTTCAGTTAGTTGTATAGAAAGTGTGTAGCACGCTCATCATTTTGATGATTTCTCGACATCAACGACAACATGCCGAATCGTTGCTTTGTCGTCAATTGCTCCTAGGGGTCGGGCGATGGTGTCACCATGCACAGATTTCCACAGGACCCCGCAGTTCGTGCTAAATGGGTTATGTTTGTGAGTGCGAAGCGAGCGTTGTGGAAGCCTGAAACGATATCTTACTTGTGTTCAGATCGCTTCACGGAAGTTAAAGAATCAAAACTACTTACTAGTTGTAGTAAAATATGTATATGATTGATGACCATAAAGATTTTCCATGACACAACTTGTAACATAACGATTTCTTCATCGGAAGCGAGGTTGTGGTCGAAGTAACAATAATATTGTAAGTAGTATTATATTGACACCCACCTCGCTGCCAGGAGAGAAATTGTTATGTTATACGCTATCATGCAAAATCCTATTGGCCATCAATAAAATACATATTTTACTACGAGTAGAAAGTAGTTTTGATTTTGTAACTCGGTGAAAACAAACCTAAATACCATTTATCCTCAGACTGGCGGATGTTCGCTACAGGGCGCCGCCATTTTTAAAAATAAAAAAATCTGTTAGAATTAATGAGATTATAGTTTGTTTTCACTGCTTAGAAAATCAAGACTACTTTCTACTCGTAGTTAAATATGTATTGAAATCTTAACCAAACGGATTTTGCATGACACAACTTATAACATAACGATTTCTTCCACGGAAGCGAGGTGGGGGTCGAAGTCACAATACTGCGCGATAAATTTCTGGCTACATTCACATGGTTAATGTCCACTCACCAGTATGTAGATACTAGTCAATGTGCGTCTTTATATTTGGTCTTATAATCCTAATTAGTTTATTATCATACTTGTATGCATTTTGAAACTAAATAAAAAGCAGACGATCTGCTGATACTTATAGTGAATTTATAACAGAACTGTAATATCTAGACATTTTAAAGTTTGCCAATGTGAATCATAATTCGCACACACACCCTAGTGCATGTTGTCTGTCTCATTAGACTTCACGGCGAAAACAATGATTCTGTTGAATGCTACGACAAATGAATAAAAACAAAATGCAAATATCAAAATTAAAACAGATTAAAGTTATAGGAACAATATCAGGCCATTACCTTGTTCGAGGAATGTATCCATCAATATCCACAAAACTGTTCCAAATGATGTGTCTTTTAACAGTTTAATATACGAAAAAGTGATAAATCTTTTCAGGTATTGGTGTATACTCTCATTGGTCACCCAACATAGCACACCTGGCAACTAACTGCATAATGTCCGCCTTTCTTTAAAAACAGTAATTTAGTTAGCCAATAATGGGCAATCATTCAATGTATTGCCGGTTAATCCTTTGAAAGAAGGACGTTGTTTTTACGCAGACACCGACACAACAGAGTGTATTCAGTATAGATTAGTAAATCTACATACATAAACACTACCTTTTGACAATTCCGCTGTGTAAGATAAAAGGAATTAATCAATCAGCGTGTTATCGGTTAATCCTTTGATCGATGTTTATAATGTTGAATATTTACTCCAGACACAAGAAATGCCAAATGGGAACCTTTGTCGGGTAATCTAAGTGTGTTACCACTAATTATACCTGTTATAAATTCATTAACTGACCATCAAGTGAATGATGACAAATAACATGTGTAGGTTTATACCACCTAACACGGGTTACAACGAGGGAGTATTAATTGCTGTATTGCATGTGAAAACTTATGGGCCGACACTGAGAATACAAACAGATTTTTACATGACATGATTAAATATCGAGGTAAAAAAACACAGAAATGGGATCAATTTGGATCAGTCATTATACAAATAGGGCCTAACGACACCAATCGATTTTGACAGAATCGTCTATGAAAACAAGTTGTAACTCGGAAACTAGGCAAAGCAGGAGACAAAATTCATTGACAGTAGATTGTGAGAACATATAGCTTTCATTTTCCACAACAATTGTCACGATTTCAGGTTTATACAAGCTTGTAAACAAGATAATTTACCCCCTAAAATGTAGATGAATTCTGCATCGGCCCTCAAAGCTATTCCTCATATGACGTCACAGAGACGCGCCGCTCTGATTGGTTGAAATTTCGTTCGCGGGTGAGAATTGTGCACTGTTGTCAAAAAGGTCGATTTAAGTCAATTAAAGGTCGGAATGAGTAGTTTTAATGACGAGGTTTCATTTATAACGATGCCAGTTAGTGATTTATGTATTTGTACCCCCTAGGGTTTATGTGACCTTTAATGCCTTTCACAGTATGAGATATTTACAGTGGGTGAGTAACTGTTGCCGTAAGCCGCATCAGCCATTTTGCAGGTTTTCGCGGTTAGATATTTACAGTATCAGAGATTTTTCACAGTCTGATCCTCAATATCATTATCCACACGGAACAGACCAACATCATGTTCCAGACGGCTCTGTATACTTTTTAGATTCAGGTGCACGCTGACCTCCCAGTTGGAGCCAATCTACAGGATCACGTGACCATACCGCTTAGGATATTAACGAAGAGTAAAGTGTCGATATCACAAGCTCAAACCGACTCAATAATGACGTGGGTGAAATATTTCATTTTCAAAACGGGTAAGTTTTCCAGTGTTAATTACTTCATTTATGAGTCTATCTAACATTGCGCGTTGGCGGAGTTACCTCCCCTGATTTAGACACGGAGCATCGATCCCAGTTATGTGTTTTGTTCACTTCAATACTTGAACTTTATTTGTATGTAACATAGGTTCTTCAGGAAGAAAGGTTTTGTATGCAAATGGTATGGGGTATGGTGGGCGAGCTGTCTAATGCACCAGGCTAGTGATCCAGCAAGTGCCGAGATCGAGCCCACCTGTGACCGTGTGTAAAACACCTTGGAGTCAAGTTTGTGTGCATAAAAAAACAAAAAAACAACAAAACAAAGCAAATAAAAACAACTCCACCCCAAAACAACAACAACAACACAACACACACACACACACACACACACACACACACCCCACACCAAAAAAAAAAACAACAACAAAAAACAACCAATCAAAACAACACTTTTTGTGCAGACTCTTTCAGTCACAACCCCTAGTGTACAGTACACAACCCTGTGCACTTACAAGAACCAACGAATCCGTTGGTAGATGACCAGATGGTGGCCATATGAATACGTGAAACACCTAGTTGCGGGTACAGCAACGTGCAGTAAACTTGGACAAAGCACTGTGACTATATGTCCCAGTCCACCCAGCTGTGAACCGGTACCTCGTAAGGATGATAAAGCCAAATTAACTTAGTGCGCCTATATGGCTGCAAGAGTTGTATGTTCCTCAGGGAGTTGAGATTGAAGATACGATGTATGGATGAATGGATGGATGTATGTCTGTATGTATGGATGGATGGATATGAAGATATACGTAGTTAGATTCAGTACATACATCCACAGTGTAAAACAAGCTACCAATGAAGTCAAAATGTTGATGAACAAGAGCTTGGCCTTCACACAGAGAGACACAATTGAGACTTGGGCAGAAAAGGTCTTCAGTACCCTACTGATGATGATCAGGGTGTCGTTGCCCAATACGATCTTAGCGCTGAGATGATCGTTACTCTCGTATCGTAACATATACCTGCGGCAGTCTTAGCGCTAAGTTTTGTACAAACGGCACTCTTAGCGCTCAAGTAGTCGTAAGTCCGTGTAAAAGTATGTCAGTTACGATCAACTTAGCGCCAAGATTGAAGCGCAGCTACTACCGTAAGCCAATGTCGATATAATGGAGTAACGATTAGGTTTGTGGAGGTGGAGCGGGACCCAGATTGTTACAATATGTGACTGGCCGGATCTTGCCCGCAACGTCATGGATCGTTGATAATGGCGTAATAAACCCCCAATACGTTCATTTGTAGGTTATATGACAGCAAATGGCGTAGAAGCAGCAGCATTTCTGCGGACTAGTCCTGACCTGCCCGTCCCGGATCTTGGTATTGAAATGTCGGTGATGTGGCTTCAGCTGTCTTCCATGAAGACTTTGTTCAACATTGATGATCAGGTAAGGTTACCAGGCCAGTGTTGTTCAGGGTTAGAACAGGACCGCAGCAACCTGCTTTTCGTACGAGGTCAGTCAGTGGATCGGGTGGTCAGGCTCGGTGATTTGTTTGATGGAGAGTCAAACTCCGTCCTCAGCGTTGGATGTTGCTCATTGTGTCAATCACATGTTTAGCCTGGTCCTTATCAGATTACGTTTCCCAATTGTGTAGATCGATCTTCATACTGTTGATCACTGGATTGTCTGGTCCAGACTCGATTATTTACAGACCGCTGCCATATAGCTGGATTATTGCTGAGTGCGGCGTTAAACAACCAACCAACCAACCTTATGAGATATCCATATATATTGACTATTGTTGAGTGTTGAAACCACAAGCAAACAAATAAACATATCAAACCAGGTTTTGGCGGATGATGGGTTTAACTCTAATTTAAAAACTGTTATTAAGTTCCAACGACAATCATAGTAGGTTTGGGTCGAATCGTAACCCAGGACCCAAACACCAGAAACTAATTAGTACGGTGTAAACCAACAATCAGCCTATTTTCATTTAAACAGGTAATCCGAGAAACGAAATGGAGGCAAGGAGACGGATTTCTGATGTTTCCGATGTTGCTAAAGCCACGAAGTTTTGGCCGTGTACGACTCCGTGACTCGAACCCCCTTGAATACCCCTTGATAGACCCAAACTACCTCTCACACCCAGGGGAAATTAAGATTCTCATTAAAGGTGAGATCATTTATCTTTTAATGATTAGTATTGACTCTTGCTATGAAAAGTAGTAGCACGACTGGATGGTTCCTTTACGGTAGGGCAGCCTGCTGGCTTAGCTTCTCTGGTGCCGACGATTTAACAAGCACCCCCTGTATTTTTGCAATGATAGGCTTTCAACACGTACATAAAACTTCTCGTGATGACCCGTATGATCCTTTGTCTCATGAAAAGCGACAAAATGATTGGAATCCGTGTTGACTTTATTTAAAAAACCTACTGATTTTCATACAAAACCATGTCTGTAGGGCCCTGGAATGTTTAATGTTGACTTTATTGGTGAATGTAAACATTTAAAATGTCATTTTGCATGTCTTACAATATTCAAGGTCAATACCGAGTGTACCCTCCATGTGACTGTATGACAGCACTCTCCTTCTCATACCCACTGCCAGCCTCCTGATCCTCTGAAGGGACAGTCTACGCCATTCTTGGTTTAACAAACCGAAACATGAGTCTCATTGACCTATTCAGACAATTACCTACTTTTCAGCCGATCCAAATTTTTTCGTGTGAAAGTGAAAATAGACATCACAAACAACTATGGTTACAATTCCTTGTTTCATAAGAAAATGGTATTTACAAATGAATTTTAATTTTAAACTTTAATAACATTGCATTTCTATATTTTATGGCGAGGTTGAGGCAGCATGACCTTAACTAAGACGTCACAGACTGCGCCTGTTTGATGAGGTCGTAAAATGATTCACAATGCATCTGGCTCACTGATTACACCTGTTATGTAGTTTTTGCACTTATTCAGTTTAGTTCTGTAACGTACAATGTGATTGATATAATATCAAGTCCGTACGACAGGGTATCAACCTGTTTCGTCTAATTTTTAAAACAGGTAAACAGTAGCAATTAGACGACCCAGGCATAGTCAGGATTGAGTGACTTTGCTCGTTAGACGAAGTAGGCATGTGGACCAGCCCATTTCAAACATAACAGGGATGGTACTACAAAATAAAAACAAAGACAACATAAATATATTTCATCGTATATTTTTATTATTTATTATTTTACTGTACTTATTTGCATATATATCTCACACATATATAACATTCACAAATATATAGAAATATATTTTATCATATATTTTTACTTATGTTATAGTCAGTTGCACAAACATCTGCAACTTATCACCACACACACCTATATATATATATATAAAGCATCCACGTATCTGAACACCATCAAACACAGAAGTTGCAGCATTAGCAGCTGCCATCTCGAAGTCTATCTGGAACACATCAGGTTTCAAGTTGAAGTGGTGAGTCTCGGCTTCTTCTTTGATAAGCTGGAATGCTGTGCTGTACGTGTTCTGACTCTTGTCTGGCAGGATGCAATACACGAGAGGATACACGTGGCCCTGGATCTCTGCATGTAGGGTGTAGAATTGTGCAAACATGCGTGGTGACGAATAAAATGTCCCATCGGCATAAATTATGTCTACATCACAGAGATGTTCTAGGTTGGATGTTGTGGACAATATAAAACTTCGCTTGTTATCCCCTTGGTCAGCTATAAGGAACCGGTCCCCTGCATCCGTAGTTGTCCAGATGTGCACGACGTGTTTGCAAGGATTAGAAGGAGCGTAGTGGTGCAATATACAAGACTAGTGATTAGATGTATCAAATGATACTGATTAATAATTATGTATCCAGTTAAATGAATTGGTCTCAAAATTCTGGACTGATCGTACTAAGTTGCGCAATAGGACGGGACCCAGTCAACATGAATCGAGACTGTTGTGTAGTCAATGTTTCGACTTGAGCAGCTTCCAATTGGGCCAGGTCCAGGTTCTGAACAGGAAGATCCCCGTCTTGCACACGACGACCAATCATTTCCAAGTTATGCTCCAAAGGGTTAAGATCGGGGTTAATTCAATCGTGAGATATGTCAGGGGGTGCTTAACTAAGTTCTTTGTGTATAGTTATTCACAATGTGTGAAGGAGTCCCTGGCCGCGTTATTGCTGGATTATGTCCGATAGCGACTTAAAACCATACCGTTTACTCTTTTATGATTGTTTGTGATAAAATTGTACTTTGATTGAAGGGCGGTGGGGTAGCCTAGTGGTTAAGGCGTTTGTTCGTCACGCTGAAGACCCGGGTTCGATTCCCCTCCAGGGCACAGTATGTGAAGCCCATTTCTGGTGTCCCCCGCCGTGATATTGCTGGAATATTGCTTAAAAACGGCGTAAAACTAAACTCACTCACTCACTACTGATGATGATCAGGGTGCCGCTGTCCGATACGATCCTAGCGCTGAGATGACCGTTACTCCCACATCGTAACATTGACCTACGACAGCCTTTGCGCTTAACTCACTAACTCACTATTTTGAAGAAATTTTGCATACAATTCTCGAAAATCTTTTCAGGAATTCGGACTATTCAAAAACTCCTGAAGACAAACCCACTCCGTAAAGTTGGCGCCAAGCTGGAGAGCTCCCCCTTGTCTGTCTGCACGCATCTCAAGTTCGACTCCGATGCGTACTGGGAGTGCTACATCCGGGGACTGACGGTGCCATCCTCTCACCCGAGCGGCACGTGCAAGATGGGCACAGCAGACGACCCATTGTCTGTGGTAGATCCACTGCTGAGGTGAGAAGATGTGTCAAACATAAAAATATAACACAAAACGCCCTTGTCGATCGCAGAAATGCAGTATTTCCTCAAATATGGAAGACTTTTCCTGAAGACGAGTAACTTCGAGTAATCCTATTAATAGTTAGCGATATGTTCATTTTCATGTGTCCTCACTATGGAAGTGGCTGTAGCATACCTTACAATTTCTGCAAACGTAAATCTGTAAATCGCAATGATAGGGCTTCCATTGGGCTGGAATTGGTTTCAGAATATGCGCGTTTGTTTACAGAACAAAAGTCCGATAAAGTGATTTGCAAATTTGATAAGGGCAGAAGTGAAGTTGTTAGATCTTAAGTTTAAGATTTTAACGAATTCGACTAAACATCTAAACCCAAGAATGTTAAATTCGGACATCACATACTTATGAAAGAAATTCTTCAGAACTATTTATCTTCATTAAACTCTCTGTTTTATGGGACAGTTATATCTCCACGCCCAGAAAACAGAGAGTTTAATGTAGATAAATCTGTTTGTACAACCCAGACTCAATATTTACCGACCGCTGTCATATCCTTGGAATTTGACCAAGTGTGGCCTAGAACGACAAACACTAAACACTAGCTGTCTGTTCGCAGGGTGAAGGGCGTGTCTGGTCTGCGGGTCGTCGACGCTTCCATCATGCCCACCATCGTATCCGGCAACACACACGCTGCCACCGTCATGATTGCCGAGAAGGCCGCGGACATCATTAAAGAAAATTTGTAACGCGCAACATTAGAAAATGTTCCGTACTTTTAAACAAAGGCACTCCTATCTTTGTGCAACAACGCTCAGTTACAAGGTTTACTCAGTCCTTCCAACATATGATCTTGATCCACTTGGGGTGGTGGGGTAGCCTAGTGGTTAAAGTGTTCGCTCGTCACGCCGAAGACCCAGGTTCGATTTTCCACATGGGTACAATGTGTGCAGCCCTTTTCTGGTGTCCCCCGCCGGGATATTGCTGGAATATTGCTAAAAGCGGCGTAAAACTAAACTCACTCACTCAAATGCACTCTTGACCCACTTAAACAAAGCGACCTTAAATTAGCGCTAAGACGATTGCAACTTCTTCATTCAATGTGACTTTAATTGATTCAAAGCTGTATTTCGATTGGTGTGTCTCCCGTTGAATATTCATTCAAGTATCCTCCTGGTTCTTTATGCTTCCGTACTGTGTTTGACACAACCGCATCCTTTCATTATCATGCCGTGTTGAAGTAGGAGCACTGATGCATACAAGGTCGACTTACATCTGTCTTGTGACATCCACGAGTGATCTTTTGTCAAGGTGCAGTTGGGTGGCCCAGCTTTTAAAGAGTTCGCTCTGTCACACCGAAATACCGGTTTGAATCCCAAAATGGGTACAATGCGACGAGCCCATTTCGGATGCCCCTGTCGTAAAATGGCTGAAATATTGCTACATGCTACCTCGGTCACCAACGACCTCATCAGTGTTTGGTGAAAGATTCAGGATTTGATTAATGTACTGAGATCTCTCATACCACATACACAATATTCATCTTTGTAGATCATTATGTTATCAAAGGTAATCACACAACGCCAAGAAAGAGGCTGATATGTTCAGGAAACGGTGGGGCAGCCAAGTGGTTAAAACGTTGGCTCGTCCCGCCGAAGACCCGGGTTCGATTCCTCACATGGGTACTATGTGTGAAGCCCATTTCTGGTGTCCCCCGCCGTGATATTCCTGGAACATTGCTAAAAGCGGCGTAAAACCAAACTCACTCACTCACTCACTCATCATATGTTCAGACGTTGTGCTGCCTTTGTTGTAACCTGCATCTTCACATTGGTGGTCTCTGATTCAATCTGGTTGTTACTTTACGCGACATTTCTATGCAAAGGATGAATGCGAGAGACAATATGTAGTGTGTGAATGTTATTACTGTACATACAGAACGTCTGTCGGTAGAAATATTCCAATTTGTAAATATCTTGTTTATGTAAATAAATAGAAAATAAAAATAATACCAGTATGCTTCTTTGTAGTCAATTGTCAGAGTCTATACGATGCAGAGGTATGGCAAGTATGACAACCTAGCGCTGCACTGTGCTATCAGAAACCTATGGTCGTGGGTTCAGATCCCAGATCTCTCCTCGTGCTGCGTTGGTTTGCCAATACTACACTAATACCTGCACCGCTTCAAGCTTTTCTGTCATATTTTGCTGACTCGCTATGAAATAACTACGACCGGCTTTGTGGGGTTCTCCAGACAATTGGTGGGATTCCAGGGCCTAGATTTTCGAAGCTCTCTTAGACCTACGATAGTCGTAAGTGTCATACATTGGCATTAACTTACGACTATCTTAGCGCTAAGAAAGCTTCGAAAATCTAGACCCTGGTTCTTACAAGTTTCTTTCTCCTTTGGACGCTGTGCTGCACGCTTCTCTTGAAGGAGAGTTCTCTTGAACTATGTACATAGTAAGCTTGTGCTACACGTCAGTGAATGTGAATATAAGTGAGAGATATCAGTCACCTCTACTGCAACAACATATACACAAAGAACGTAGCTAAGCACCCCCTGACATAATTCACTATTGAATGAGCCCCGATCTTAACCCTTTGGGTATACCTGGGACATGATTGGTCGTCGTGTGCAAGAAAGGGATCCTCCTGTACAGAACCTGGCCCAATTGGAAGTTTCTTTACACGAGCAGTGGCGTAGACTTCCCCTTCAGAGGATCAGGAGGCTGATATTGGTATGAGGAGGAGAGTGCTGGCTGTCATATAGTTACACTCGGTATTTGCCTTGAATCATGTAAGACACGCAAAATGACATTTTGAATGCGCACAGTCACCAATGAATTGAACATTAAACATTCCAGGGCCATACTTGTACAGACATGGTTTTGCATGAAAATCATCATAAAACCAACATAGATTCCAATCGTTTTGTCGTTTTTCATGAGTCAAAGGATCATACGGGTCAGAAAAACTCATGCTTTTCCATCGTGGTCACCACAAGACGTTTTATGTACGTGTTGAAAACCTATCATTGCAAAAATACAGGGGGTGCTTAATTAAGTTCTTTGTGCATAGTTTGACATCCATCATTGCGAAAATACGGGGGGTGCTTAATAAAGTTCTTTGTGACACAAAGAACTTAATTAAGCACCCCTGTATTTGTTTTCAATGATGGTTGTCAAACTATATAGTCAGGCTCCCAAATAGACTATTATTTACAGACCGCAGCCATATAGCTGAAATATTGCCAAGCGTCAAAAACAACGAATAATTCCAATACTCAGCCAAAGATAAAACTTCACTGTGCTATTTCTCTGAATACACAATGCCATTGAGAAAGTGGTCAAATGGAACATAAAATTATGTTATAGTAGAGATTACAATACAGTTAAGTACATATTTCAGTACGTTTTGACTGCCATACGGGATTCGAACCCACAAACTAAGATCCAGGCACCCAATGGCATGCACACAAACACAGTGATCTAACCCACTCATCCACCACGGCTTCCGAGGTGTTATTTCTATACACACATGGCAGTATTTAACCTTCATCTTGTGAAAAGAACAGATCTGAATCATGACAAATGAAGGGGTCCCACAAACGACTAATGATCTTTTATTTTGTTCCAAGTGAGTAGAAACACCTGTCCGATATATTTCTATTATATATTATGAATAAAATGGACTGAAAATCAAAGTCTAAAAATCATCCTGGAAACTTTTTTGTGAAATAACCCCCCATCCCACTGCAGCAGTTCGTATATCTACTAGCTAATTTGAGTTTTACCAGCCACCATACGGAAGGGAACATGCCTAAATTAACCTATCCAAACTATAAACCAAATATTGACTTCCAAAGTTGAGGATGTTTCGAGAAACCCAGACAGTTATCTACAGTCACGAAAAAACGTAGGCAGTGAGCGTAGAATTTGCAGATGGTTCATTTGCTGGGTCTTTGCTTTGTCTTGAGTCTTCGATAAGTAGTAATGGAAGACCTTTCTGATTTTCTGAAAAACACAAACATACCATAATATATTGACTAGTTACTGGTGAGAAAATAAAATCGACGGTCAGCGAATTCAGTATTGTAACATGCAGTGGATTCGAAGCCTGGCCAACGCCTTCACGGTTGTTTTGCTATTTACTTTCTTAGAAACATCCTCAACAATCTGTGCATAACAGACTGCCTCCATGGCGTAGTGGTTAGAACGTCCGCCCAGAGAGCGGAAGGTCGCGGGTTCGATCCCCAACCGTGTCATACCAAAAGACGTTCAAGTATGGTACTTGTTGGTCCCTGACTGGCGCTCAGTTTTAATGGCACTTGCAGGCTTGGAGTCAATATAATGTATCTGTGTGGGGTATTCATGCTTCACTGCGGCATGGTATCTCAGTGAGCTGGCACTATAAAACCAGCTTAAGTCTGGGTTAGTACAAGCAGCCACACATACACACGTATGCACGTCGTCATATGAGCGAAATATTCTTAAGTACGACGTTAAATCCCATTTCACCTCGCATCACTGTACATAACAAGTTACCTTCCGAAACTTCCCCTGCAGATGTAGGCCGAGAAGGCTGTCTGTAAACAGTAAACATGAACAGTTGATGACTTTTCCATATTAAAATAGTATTATTTCATACCAGCGTTGAATGTACAGAAACACTTCAGGCATCATCATTCACGACATGCCATATTCCAAGGTAATTATGTAGGTTGTAATCAAGAATTAATAACATTCAGATATGTATGAATTCAGAATGAGAATTATCAGTGGGAATTTCATATTAAGGAAAACCAAGTTCTATGAATAGTCAACTTCTTTATTCCAATGAATGCGACGTTTCAGTGTAGATGCTAACACCGTTATCAAGCAGGTTATCATCACTTACTTGATAACGGTGTTCGTATCTACACCGATACGTCGCACTCATTGGAATAAAGAAGTTGACCATCCGTAGAACTTGGTTTCTTTACAACTTCTAAAATGCCCCTCAAAGAAAGAATTTGATATTCCTCGTTAAAAACATATACACGTAACTAATGCACCACCGAGCTTGGGTTTCACTATCATATGTCCCTGTGTTATCATTGCGACCTTAATCAGTTCAGACCCAGCGTTTATCGAAATTCTGGAAAGCAGTTCATATGTAAACAAGGATTCCAAGAAGTCTTCACGAGGCCTGAAGTGCATTATCTTACCTCACACATAAATGTCGTTTTCTGATTGGCTGAGCCAATCAATGTACCCCGCTTACAACGAGTAACATTTTCTGTGTTACCTGCTGGAAATGCCGGACTGTGGGAATTCGTTTGGAACTTCGTATTAGTAGTGTTTGGGCTGTTGCCTAACTCCAGTACTCCTTATTATGATCCAATACCCGTGCTTCAAACAGTTCAAAATTAACATTGAAGTGTTCTTTGAGATAAATACGTTGTTCACTGATTCCTCGGGGCCCATGGGTTGATGTACCCTCTATGTTTGCATATGTTCCCCCCGCCCTTCGGGCTCAAGGAACATAAACAAACATGGAGGATACATCAACCCATGCCCCCCCTCGTGACCTGTTAAGAACTTATATTGTATACCTCCGGAAATTGATTCCGTCCTCGATGGTCTCCGGAAGGTCTCTGTTGAGTGTTTCTGGCAGCAGGAGGGCAAACAGACCTGCCAGGACAGCCAGACTGCCAAACATCAACAGAGGCAGGGCGCGGCCGAAGTCCCCGTCGACAAACTTGCCCTTTGTAAGAAAAGTCAGGTATGTCCTGTGTCAATTGGAAAACAATGAATTTGATTTAATGCTGTGTCTCTCCACCCCTTAATCACTAAATACAACATATTCCAACACAATCACATCTCAAACTTAGATTTAATTCAAGAACACAAAGTAATTGTAGCAAGACTTTACCAATCCTAAAGACGAAACTCCCCAAATAATCAATAATATATTTCGTGAAGGAAATCCAAGTTCTATGGATAGTCAGCACCTTTATTGCAATGAGTGCGACGTTTCGGTATAGATACTAACACCGCTATCAAGCATGTGATGTGATGACATGTTTCACACATGCTTGATAGCGGTGTTAGTATCGGAAACACCGCACGCATTGCAATAAAGGAGCTGATTATCAACAGAACGTGGGTTTCCTTTATCTTTATTTTCATCTCCAATTTCTAAAATACCTCTCAAAGAAAAATATCTCGTTACCAAGTCAACAACATAAGGGGCGATCATGGCCCCTAGCCGTGCACAAGAGGACCCGGCACCAGTGGCGGAGTGACGGATGACTGTGGGGAACAGCTCCGAGGAGAAGACGTACATGATTAGAAAGCCTCCCGTGGATCCAAGCTTTCCAATCATAGCCAGTAGAACAGTGACCCACTGTAATGCTGAAGAGGAAATTTTTCTCATAAGAAAAAAATGCCAAATACAGTTGATGGTATTTGTCTTTAGACATCTGTATTTTGCACTTTCAAACAACAAACAATCGTATTTACTATTTATCGGGTAACTATCAATATTTATGCAAACATTTACCTACGAATGCAAGTGCACTACAGTGCCTTTGGTAAAACGGATATGCAAATAGCATGAACTGTTCTAAATCTGATTATCATATTAGGTATTCTGATCATGTCTCCATGCGTTTAATACATGCACGAATACACATAAATATTAAAGATATTTTAAACTATGAATAAAAAATGAAATGATTATATAATCCTATGTAGAAAGCCACACAAACAATATATGTCACTTGATTGATATTTTACATGTACACAGTCAGAAGAACCCTTCGTGTTGGTAGCAGATCTACTGTTTTAATTTAAGCTCTTTCATGTATCAAATACAGTTGGTTATTAAATCTGCAGCTGTGGTGGCACTGATTAGCTACTTTCTGTTCTAACATGTTATATTATGCCTGAGTGCCAGAATATGTAAATTTATTTTTATCAGTTTAGTTATACTTATTAAGATTTTTTGTTTAGGATAGACGTTTCTACAAAGTACCTTTTTCTGATACGAATACAGATATACCAATTTGAAGTAAATTTTTATCTTATCTTCAGCTGAACGGTGCAAATATCGACTTGTAGTTGGTGCGACCGATTGACGCTCCTTTCACTGCATTCCAACGCAAGTTGACTTTTAAAAATTACTTTGAAACTAAGTTGGACTAAGGTTTGGAAGTCTCGAAGTAGTGGGCGGAGGAGTAGCCAAGTGGTTAAAGCGTTTGCTCGTTACACAGAAGACATGGGTACAATGTGTAAAGCCCATTTCTGGTGCCCCCCACTGTGTTATTGCTGGAAAAATGCTAAAAGCGGCGTTCAAACCTCACTCACTCATTCACTCGAAGTAGTGTCATTACGTATATTGTTTCTCCTACAGAGAAAATTGTCCGAAAATTAGAACTGACTGATAAAATGGACTCAGTTGCTGCCTCATCACGAGTTATGGTTTTGCTTACCCGTATCAGCAATGTAGAACTGTCAGCGCCGATTGGCTGATTATAAAGATCCTGTGACATGACCTGAATGAATGAATGTGTCCTAAAACGCAGAGTAAACGATCTTGCTTCAAATAGCGTTGTTCACTTTCAGGTATGAGTGTGGTTGGATGTGAATACTCACGCTGGTCTGCATAGAGGATGGGGAAAATGGTGAGGATGCAGGACACTCCCATTGTGAACAGTGATGCACAGTACATGGTCTTCCTGCCCAGTTTGTTGAGCAGTGTTATGACGAGGACGAACGCCGGGAACTCCACCAGCCCCACCAGCAGGAAGTTGAGGTGGAGGCTGCCTGCTCCCAGGTTGTCTGAGTGGAGGGACAGGCCATAGTACCCCATGCTGACCACCAGCCTGAAACACAAAGGACACACCGCTGGACACAAACCTATATGTTGCATAGTATTGACAACCAACTAGATTACACACAACACTGATCTCAAACCTAAATCTGAAACTTCTGGATGATGAATCTCCTTGGTGAAGTAGTTTCGAAACAGATCTTTTTGTTTCTTTGTTGTTTAACTATGGACTCTGCTCCAGCTCTGTCCGATTGTCCAAATGGCCCAATTGGAAACAGACCGTCCAGCGATCTTAACGACGACGGTTAGAATGGATCTTTCCCGACAAATGCTTGTCATAAGAAGCAACTAACGGTTCGCATGGTCAGGCTCGCTGACTTATTTTACATATGTCATCGTATCCCAATTGATCTATCCGTATGTTATTAGTCACTGGATTGTCTGATCCAGTCTCGATTATTTACCAACCGCCGTCATCCAGATGGTCCGGCGATATGACGACCGCCGTCAAAATCTACGAAGTGACTGAACCTAACCAACTAAACCAAATAATTTAATTTACTATTCTAGGTAGGAATAGCCCTTGTGCCAAAAACCTTACCAGTTAAAGAATATGATGAGTGTTCGTGTACACATGACTGGAGTCGTGAACAGATCCAAGAAGCTGCCCTTAGGCTTGTCGTCAGTCTCTGTCACGTGTTGTGACAGGTTGGCAGGCAACGTGACTTGATTCACATCAGCCATGCGCCGCATGATCACTTCCGCTTCCTGCTGCCGGCCCTGCTTCAGCAGCCATCTTGGAGATTCTGGAAGGATCCTGTAAACCATATGTTGTCCTCTGAAGTTTTAAGCAAAATAATAGAAATGATGGAATAAATTTGAATGAATGCGTTTTCCGTGACAGGATATATTTTTAATTTTGTACTAGTAAAAATGAAGAAGTTGTTGATACTATAGTATATATAATAACATTAACTGATTAATGTCAGGAAATGGGAAATGAGAAACGTCTAACGTGCAATGGACGATGGGGAAGCCTAGTGCTAAACGTGCTGGATCGTTTAGGCGAAGGCCCGGGTTCGATTCCCAAGGTACATTGCGCAAAGGCCAATTTTGGTATCCTCGCTGTGATATGATTTCCTTGCTATAATATGACTAAAATATGGCGTAAATCTCACTCACTCATTGAAAATGAAAAAGCCAGGTAAAACCACTATAGATTCCAAATTCCAGCACAAGCAAGAAGCCGTTGAGAAGGAATATCCTCTTTCTGTGCAATCTGGATGATACATCTGAATGCATTGCGCATTCATGATTAAAACAAACCCTTTCTCATGGAATTTGGATGATAAATAGGTATAAATAGCGCATTAATAATCAAAATAACATCCTTTCTCTGTGAAATGGTGTGAAACCCATTAGGGTGCCTCCCGATATTGCTGGAATATTGCCAAAAGCGGCGTAAAACCATACTCACTCACTCTCTGTGGAATTTGGATAATAAGCAGATATAAACTGCGCATATTTAGAATAACGGGATTCACAACTGACCCAAAGGCCCTCGTGTCTTTGCGAGGATTAAAGATGTTATTTTTTTTTTAATTTGAGATGACCCCCGACTCAAAATGCATCACAGTACAATACATTATGGTGTCAGGGTGTATAGGGTCGGGGGTCATCTCAAAAACATTTTGTTTTTAATCTTTAATCTTCGCAAAGACACGACGGCTTGTGAACTGACCACCAGTACACAAGACACGCTGCAACAGGGACGGCCGTGGCCAGCTCCAGCGTGTGCCAGTCCCGGATGAAGTAACCCAGTCCGGACAACACCACCATACCAATGGCGAAGAATGTCTCCAGCATCACTCCAAAATAAACACGTTTTGTAGGACCGGTTATTTCAATACCTGAATTGTATGAAACAGTGTTAGAGTGTATTTTGGGTTTATTACGAACAATTGATCACAAATATTAGTAAACATTTACAATATATCTGTTTGAAGTCGTAAAACCGATCTTTAAAAATGTTTTTACGTATACACATATGGACTTTTTTATGACTTCTTCCTCCATCGACTGACGAATAACATTATTAAGGTTTTGTTCGCATTCTTATCTGCCACCAATTTTCTTTTGGCGGCTACGGAAGGTTATTGGCATAGTATGACATTATCCTCACATTTACTTCTTCAGCATGGCCACGAAGAATTTTGTTGTATATATATCTTCAGATGGGGAAGCTAATGAGAATACTAATTTATGGCAACACTTTCAGTTGGTTTCCAATCCAACTTAAATGTTATTGGTAGTTATGAACAGTTGGTTATTAAGCTTCTTTAGATGGACATCGAGCTATCTGTAGAAAGTATTTATTTCCCATAAATAGATGTGAATATGACTTTTATAATACTCAGCTACGTGACATCAAATTTTGCTTGTAAGAAACCAGTATATAATTATGGAAAACATGCTTTAATATCAATGCTGGTCGTTTGAGAATAGGCTTTGGTGACATTTTATACCCAAGTGAACTGCAGTATCGAGACACTGTTTCTTACATATTTTCAGCATGGTTCCTGTCTTGGTCAGACGATTTAACAACAATAATACAAGTTTGGTTTGTTAGCTTCTTGTTTAACGCCGCACCAAGCAATATCTCAGCTATATGGCGGCGGTCTGTAAATAATCGAGTCTGGACCAGACAATCCAGTGATCAACAGCATGAACACCGCTCTACGCAATACGATGACATGTGTACACCAAGTCAGCGAACCTGACCACCGGATCCCGTTAGTCGCCTCTTACGACAAGCATGGGGATTGATGAAGACCAATTCTAACCCGGAAAAGGACAAGCAAAGGTAAAATCTCCAAATAAGTCATGAACGTCATTTTACCAATTACAAAGCACGAAACAAAGACCCCGACCGCAGAGGCACCGTTGATGAAGCGCAGGATGGCGAACATGACGAAGTTGCTGGACCAGTTGAGGAGGATGCCGCCGGCGATGAGAACCAGGAGACAGAGGTAAAGAGCCTTCTTCCGACCGATCCTTGGGAAACGGTATAAAAGGTTGTGTCACTGTGTCTTGAAAACTACGATAAAATTATTTATAACTGAAGGTGATTAAAAATCAGTATCTGTGACTTGACTGGTGCCTCAAGTTATTTACACTTCTATTTAACGGCACATATTACATGAAAACGATCTTGAAAGGTTCAACCTCAATGTGATATAAACCAAAAATATATATAATTGTGGGACTTGCACTTGTGCATAAGGCAGATGTATAATATCTCCATCAAGAGTCATTACTTCAGAAACTGGACTACACCGGATATTCAAAAAGATTCTTAAAAGAAGTGCGTTCAATATTTATATGTAAGCAATAGATCTTGTATCAGTTGTTAATCTAACAAAACAAGTTTAAAGTCTATTTCATATGATCACCACACACCTGTCCCCTAGGGTTCCGGCTGCGAAGGATCCCAAGAAGCATCCTCCCATGTAGATCACCTTTGAATGTGTTGCCAGTATTGCGTTGTCACACACAAAATTCAACTGAATATACAAATAACGCCATGAATGAATGAATGAATGAATATGACTCAATTAATATGTGGGTATGTAATAGTAGAGAAAGACATACTAAACGCACATTAATTCGAAATATACGATTCCATTTAATTGTAGTGAAGCGAGTTGGATAAAAACGATTCTCTGTACATAATATGTTACGGATGAGTATGCATGTTAAATATGGAAAGGCTTTCCAAAGGTTTGATCAAGCCTATATCATTTCAGAATGAACCACATGAATTCACTTTTGAAAAGTGAGGCGAGGTGAAATTGGGTTTAACGTCGTGCTTGAGAATATTTCGCTCATATGACGACGTGCATGCGTGTGTATATGTATGTGTGGCTGCTTGTACTAGCCCAGACTTAAGCTGGTTTTATAGTGCTAGCTCACTGAGATATCATGCCGCAGTGAAGCATGAATACCCAACTCAGACACAGTATACTGACTCCGAGCCGACCAGTCCTTGTTGTACCCATTAATGCCGAGCGCCAGGCAGGGACCAACAGGTACCATATTTGAACGTCTTTTGGTATGACGCGGTCGGGGATCGAACCCGCGACCTTCCGCTCTCCAGGCGGACGCTCTAACCACTACACCACGGAGGCGGCCCTCTTGAAAAGTAGATGAGACCAGCTTGTAGGTCGAGAATGCTTGTGCTCTGACATTGATAGTATATATTTAACAACTAGTTTACACTAGCGCTCCCACGATGAGACAAAAAGGAGTAATTATAAACAACAGCCGAAATGAGACAAGTTAAGATGTGTCAAACAAATTGCTAATGTTCTTTTTATTTGCTTTTTGCTATTAACAGGGTGTAAATTATATTCTGCGCAATCAGGCCATAAAGCTGTAATGATGGATAAACTTAACCTCTGATGACACCGTGGACTCGAACACAGACTTGTCGTACACCCACTTTGTACAGGGAACTACTGTACGGTTTGCTAGGTCATTGATGCCAACGTCAAAGTAGATGTGACAGTTGTCGAGCTGCAGTTTGCCGTCCCTTTTGACGTAGGGGATGGTGACGTTGATAAGCCGGGCGTGATCGGCAGACTGTACATCGTAGGTGTCGTTGTCGTAGCCAGGGATGGCGCACCTGTAGGACAATAGACATGAGGTGAGTTCGATTCCGATCCCGGTTTGTTTCATTTTTCCCTTGCACCAATGTGAAAAGAAGTGAAGGAAAGTCAGCTTAAACTGTTATGTTTATACGTCCCTTGCACCAATGTAAGGAAAAGTCAAGTCAGTTTAAAGTGTTTGTTTTATATTTCCCTTGCAAGAATGTACAAATGAATGAAGGAAAGACAGCTTTAAGTGTTATTTTTATATGTCCCTTGCAACAATGTACAAAGAAGTGAAGGAAAACAGGTTTAAAGTGTTATTTTTATACGTTCCTTGCAACCAATGTACAAAAATAATGAAGGAAAAGTGAGCCCTTTACCAATGTTTAATTTTTATACGTTCCCCTTGCACCAATGTACAAAGAAATTAAGGAATGTCAGTTTCAAAGTGTTATTTATATATCTCCCTTGTACCAATGTAAAAAGAAGTGAAGGAAAGACAACTTAAAGTGATATTTTTGTATGTCCCTTGCACCAATGTTTAAAAAGAAGTGAAGGAAAGCAGGTTTTAAGTGTTATTTTATACGTTCCCTTGCAATCAATGTACAAATAATGAAGGAAAGACAGCTTTAAGTGTCATTCTTATATGTCCCTTGCAACAATGTACAAAGACAGTGAAGGAAAACAGGTTTAAAGTGTTATTTTTATACGTTCCTTGCACCAATGTACAAAGAAATTAAGGGATGTCAGTTTAAAAGAGTTATTTATATATCTCCCTTTTACCAATGTAAAAAGAAGTGAAGGAAAGACAACTTAAAGTGATATTTTTGTATGTCCCTTGCACCAATGTTTAAAAGAAGTGAAAGAAAACTGGTTTAAAGTGTTATTTTTATATGTCCCTTGCAACAATGTACAAAAGAAGTGAAGGAAAACAGGTTTAAAGTGTTATTTTTATACGTTCCTTGCACCAATGTACAAAGAAATTAAGGGATGTCAGTTTAAAAGTGTTATTTATATATCTCCCTTGTACCAATGTAAAAAGAAGTGAAGGAAAGACAACTTAAAGTGATATTTATGTATGTCCCTTGCACCAATGTTTAAAAGAAGTGAAAGAAAATCGGTTTAAAGTGTTATTTTTGTATGTCCCTTGCACCAATGTAAAAAGAAGTGAAATAAAACCGGTTTAAAGTGTTATTTTATATGTCCCTTGCACCAATGTATAAAGAAATTAAGGGATGTCAGTTTAAAAGTGTTATTTATATATCTCCCTTGTACCAATGTAAAAAGAAGTGAAGGAAAGACAACTTAAAGTGATATTTTTGTATGTCCCTTGCACCAATGTTTAAAAGAAGTAAAGGAAAACAGGCTTCAAGTGTTATTTTTATACGTTCCTTGCACCAATGTACAAAGTAATGAAGGAAAGACAGCTTTAAGTGTTATTTTTATATGTCCCTTGCAACAATGTACAAAGAAGTGAAGGAAAACAGGTTTAAAGTGTTATTTTTATACGTTCCTTGCACCAATGTACAAAGAAATGAGGGATGTCAGTTTAAAAGCGTTATTTATATATCTCCCTTTTACCAATGTAAAAAGAAGTGAAGGAAAGACAACTTAAAGTGATATTTTTGTATGTCCCTTGCACCAATTTTTAAAAGAAGTAAAGGAAAACAGGCTTCAAGTGATATTTTTATACGTTCCTTGCACCAATGTACAAAGTAATGAAGGAAAGACAGCTTCAAGTGTTATTTTTATATGTCCCTTGCAACAATGTACAAAGAAGTGAAGGAAAACAGGTTTAAAGTGTTATTTTTATACGTTCCTTGCACCAATGTACAAAGAAATGAAGGGATGTCAGTTTAAAAGCGTTATTTATATATCTCCCTTTTACCAATGTAAAAAGAAGTGAAGGAAAGACAACTTAGGGTGATATTTTTGTATGTCCCTTGCACCAATGTTTAAAAGAAGTAAAGGAAAACAGGCTTCAAGTGATATTTTTATACGTTCCTTGCACCAATGTACAAAGTAATGAAGGAAAGACAGCTTTAAGAGTTATTTTTATATGTCCCTTGCACCAATGTACAAAGAAGTGAAGGAAAACAGGTTTAAAGTGCTATTTTTATACGTTCCTTGCACCAATGTACAAAGAAATGAAGGGATGTCAGTTTAAAAGTGTTATTTATATATCTCCCTTTTACCAATGTAAAAAGAAGTGAAGGAAAGACAACTTAAAGTGATATTTTTGTATGTCCCTTGCACCAATGTTTAAAAGAAGTAAAGGAAAACAGGCTTCAAGTGTTATTTTTATACGTTCCTTGCACCAATGTACAAAGTAATGAAGGAAAGACAGCTTTAAGAGTTATTTTTATATGTCCCTTGCACCAATGTACAAAGAAGTGAAAGGAAAACAGGTTTAAAGTGTTATTTTTATATGTTCCTTGCACCAATGTACAAAAGAAATGAAGGGATGTCAGTTTAAAAGTGTTATTTATATATCCCCCTTCTACCAATGTAAAAAGAAGTGAAGGAAAGACAACTTAAAGTGATATTTTTGTATGTCCCTTGCACCAATGTTTAAAAGAAGTGAAAAGGAAAACAGGTTTCAAGTGTTATTTTTATACGTTCCTTGCACCAATGTACAAAGAAATGAAGGAAAGAAGTTTAAAAGTGTTATTTTTATATTCCCTTGCAAAATGTACAAAGAAGTTAAGGAAAACAGTTTAAAGTGCTATTTTATATACGTTCCTTGCACCAATGTACAAAGAAGGAAGGAAAACAGGTTTAAAGTGCTATTTTTGTATGTTTTGCCCAATGTACAAAGAATGAAGGGATATCCCCTTCTACCAATGTAGTGACGGAAAGCCACACTACTGTTTTTGTCTAGGAATCCCAGACAAGAAAAATCTCCCTTTGTCAATTTTACATGTATTCAGTCGATATTTGAACCACTCACCTGTGTCCAGGTATGTTCAGCAGGAACACACTGATCATCATCCTGATGCCAAAGGTGATGCCAGAGAGAGACAGGAAAAGGGAGATCCATCTCTGGTAGCGTCCAAACTCCCCCAGGAGCCGCAGAACATCGTCGAAACTCAGCCTCATCTTTACATATCACCGATAGCACCGCGTTCCCTGTATACGTTATATCAATCTATATGGTCTGAAATCACAACTAACCTTTCGATTCTTAGGACAGTTCTTCGTTCATTTCACCTGGACATGACTCATGCGTCACTTTTGTCAACAACAGTGAGGTAATTGAGTTTCATAAAAATTTCGCTTGTCCCCGTATCAGTTCCTGAAAGTGCTTCACATGAAAATATTGTCATTGTTATGGCTGACTGCAAGAGATGCCTGCAGCACGCATCCGTGAACATATCCCGGAGGCTGCTGCCAGTTGATCTGGCAGAGACTGTTACTGTTTACCATATGTATTCAAACTTGAAAGCGTAACGATATTTATGCCATTTGCCATTACGTTTCTTTTTGTATATTTAATTTACAAAATTTCCTCTACATTAATTTCTCACGTTTGCAAAACAAACCCATGTAATCGACCACAGCTGTTGATCTGACAAAAACAGTCAGTTGATACTACCTGGGAGCATAATTTTTGCAGATTTTGTTAGAATAAGCATAATTCGACATCTTCTATCTGTAATCGAACTATTTTATCATGACAAGTATTTAAGCACAAATGAAACAAAAATACATGTTGTCTGACAGTGTTATAACGTTTTAATACTCACAGTAATTACATCTAGAATATTACAATTTTAAGTAAAATATCAGACTATACTGCAATGGTAAACCTTATTGAATGATAGTGGATCTTTGCAGCGGCCATGAATCAAGCAGTTCGTACTTGCATGTGAACAATATACCTTGTCGACATGGCCAAAAGAGCGTGGATACGACAAGATGAAGATGTCACCCGTAGGACGACTCCCTATGCACGTGCCGGACGCAAAGGTACCATAAGCGTACAGAGACTTTAGTGCTAAATCCTACTGTAATTATTTGAAAAATTGACGTAGTAAACATGTTAATCTCAGAAGTGTGCAGAACTGGTAATATTTTTATCGTTAATTTAGAAATGGTCTTCAGTTAGCATTTGTTGTTGTGTCTGGTGACATTTACCATGTTGTCTACCGTCTTATACTATTCCAGTTCTTTGGGAGGTAAGCACAGCCATATATGTAAAATATTTGAGGTGTGTGTTTTGTTTTTTATGGTTTGTTTTTTTATGGTAACATGAATATTGAAAATATTACACTTTGATTAGATTTTAAAGTGAGTGAGTGAGTATGGATTTACGCCGCTTTTAGCAATATTCCAGCAATAACACGGCGGGGGACAACAGAAATGGGCTTCACGCAGTGTACCCATATGGGGAATCGAACCCGGTCTTAAGCGTGATGTGTTTGGCATGTCTTCGACTGAAAATGACATTGTATCTCAAATATTAAAGCCAAAATTATTTAGTAGTCCCCTATTATGAGACTTCCGCGGGTCGAAAACAGCCCCGTTGTATTAAAACGCCTGCATATAAACCAAGTTTATCAAGGTGTATATCTGTATGCATATACATGTATCATTCGTGTGTAAACAAAACCGACAAACCCCTTTCTTCCACGGGTCAATTGTACCATATCGGCTATGTCATGTATGTAGGCATCGGGGACCGTGAAGACCCGGGTTAGAATTGATCTTCAATCACCCATGCTTGTCGTAAGAGGCGACTTACGGAATCGGGTGGTCAGGCTCGATTACTTGGTTGACACATGTCATCGTATCCCAATTGCGCAGATTGATGCTCGTGCTGCTGATCACTGTATGGTCTGGTCCAGACTCGATTACTTACAGACCGCCACCATATAGCTGGAATATTGCTGAGTGCGGCGTAAAACTAAACTCACTGTCTGTAGGCAGTGTTTATCATTATCAAAAAGTGATGATACCAGACATTTGTGGAAGGTGACATCCGTCAGAAACACATGCATGGGCAAGTCAATTGGTCACTTGAACAAACACGCGACCGTAGGTGCACGTCAAATAGGAAATAGCAGTGATGCTTCAAAATTGGAAACCCACATATACATGAAAGTAACCGTGATAGAAGAACTTTTGAACACAAAAGTTGTTCACATAACGAAGAACCACCTGAATGATAATGGAAAGCGTGGTTAGTCGACTAGTGGATGTAAACAGAACCTACTAAACCCTCTCCACATCCAGATCTAAAAGCAGAATCGATTGTACAGTTCTAACTATATTATGAGTATGTATTTGTTTCAGCAGTATTTCAGCTGTACGATGTGGTTTATAAACAATCCAGTCTGGACCAGACAATCTAGTGATTGACACCATGCGATACGATGACAGAGCATGTGTTTATGAATCACAATCAAATAGTGATGATACCAGGTGTTCTCGAGAAGGTGAGCGTATCGTGTCCCCACCGGTGGCACTCGTCATAAACTTAGCATGAATAAGTGAGTTTAATTTTACGCCGCACTCAGCAATATTCCAGCTATATGGCGGCGGTCTGTAAATAATCGAGTCTAAGCCAGACAGTCCAGTGATCAACAGCATGAACATCGATCTGCGCCACCGGGAACCGATGACATGTGGCAACCAAGCCAGCGAGCATTGGTTTCTGAAGGTTCATTCTAACCCGGGCCTTCACGGGTGACATATGAAGGTCTAGTCAATTGATTACCTGAAAGAATAGGAAAGCATGGTAAAAAGACAAAATATGGAATGACATTGGACGTCATTTTCACTGCCTTCCTATGAACTGTTGCTCCACTAGCAGACTTGTTGCTATGGAAACGCACCTCCTCTGGCCACCTGATTGATACAGTGGGAAAGTCAAATCTGGATTTCAAAAGATAAATATATAATTTGAAAATGTATGTTTTGTAGAGTCTCTGCATCAATGCCTTTTGCATAGTCTTCATAACATACTTCTTTATACTATGGCTTAATTACATCATGAACCCGTAAGTAAATTTTGTGATATTTCATGGAATGTACCTGAATCCTGTTTTGCTTTGCACTAAAAGACAGCTTGGACAAGGCAACAAGACAACCCCATTTGCGTATAGGTTTGAACCCCGGCCTTTAATTTCAACTTCAGGAGGGTAAATCTGTGGAAGGGAATTAATTCCCTATTTGATGATTATTGAACGATCTTATCTCGTTTTGATTTTGCCAACTCGAGCAGAAGCTGTGATTCACACAAGGAGGGAGGACAATTGGTACCCATGGGAATGCCTACCTCTTGTCGAAATGTTTTAGCCCCAAATGTTGCATTGATGTTATCAATGAGAAAGTGCAGCATTTCACATATTGTTTTCTCGCTACACCTCAAATGATATTTGCTTTCATTTTTGACATATTGTCCTGAACCTCAGAAGAAAGATATGTAAGTATATCTATGTTCATCACATTCATTTACAACAGCCCCATGGATCAAAGAATTCACTTTTTCCTTACGTTTTCAATGTGGGACAGTGTTATACATCTTTGAACAAATCAAATGTTCTGACAGAACGGAACTCGGTCCGTTTCTGAGATTGTAAAATGTTAAATCCTTCGATTTTGATAATCCACATGGTATTATATCGTCTTTTCCCAAATACTTTCTGTGAATATCGATACAGTCCTTCCTTGATAATATAATGGATTATGGTGAATCTCTGTGTCAGGGTTTCGGTGGTACATTTGCCGGACCCAGTAAAATATTTCTCTTTGAACGGAGTTTTATGTGGCTTTGGAATCCAGTACAAAAAAGGAATGGGCATGTCTAAATGTTTAAGGGCCAAGCCAATGGTTTATAGTCCCGATGAATAGTTTTGGCAGATTTCTTCCTCACTTTGAATGATAGCTGGCTGGGACAGAATAGGTTTATTCCAATTCTGTGTCTTCTTTTTCAGATTTATACATGATTCTACCATTGGCAGCATCACGCATTGTCTTAACTCAGTCTGAAAGACATTCTACAGGTTCCTCTTCTCGTTTGGCCCCGTTTTGGCACAAGCTTCGACAGCAAACATATTGATTTTAAAGTTGTAATTCCATTTGGTAGGAGGAAATTAACGATATTTAGGTCGTTACTCTGACCATGGATCCGTCGAAGCCTTTTGGATGTTGGAAACAAACTAAATACATGGACGTTACCAGTTCTCCTGTTAAACAGACTGCCAACGTCTGTTCTTTTGTCATTACATCCATATGGCATTAAAGTATTGCTGTAAGGCTCGTCTGACGCTGCTTCAAGGGTCAGCTGACATTGGGTGTACGGACGTTTATGCTTCAGCCCGCATCAACAGTTTCAGCAGTACTGTTAGAAAAGGCGTCGAATAAAATGCTGTCATTACTTCAAAAACAATTAAAAGCAATTTGTCCATCGCATGACAATATGCCAACAATATGTACATCTGTTTGAAACATGCGCTACTAGTAACCAGGCCACGATAACGGGGATCGTTGGAAGCAGCAAGCTGGTACTAACTAATGAATTAGATTTCTGCTCAAAGTGTTGAATCCATGATGGGAGAGTCATGGTTGACATCACAACATGAATAAGAGGACATGGATGCTTCCACAAACCAAAGGAAAGAAAGTTGACTAAAGACGACAAAACTGTTGCCTAAGATTATACATAACAAATCAATTCAGAAAACAAGAGTCGACTGTACAGGACATAACGAACGCGTATTTATCTCGCGGTATAAGCTGAAAAGGGGTACTGCATCACACGACATTTTGTGACTGTTTTGGAACTGTTTTCCTTATGTCTAGAATTTATGTTTGAAATATCAAATAGGCGTGGAACCCTACTTAAACGAACTTTGGGCAAATAATTGTAAGATATGGTTGAAAATCTTTGTGGAAACAGTTTAATGGTTTGTACTGTAAAAGTTGTGAATGAGACACCACAGATCGTAATTGTTGGAATATCTGTCGATATAATGGGAAAATGACAACGTGTAGAATATCTTCTTGTCATCCAGGGGCGGTGGGGTAACCTAGTGGTTAAAGTGTTTTGCCCTTCACGCATAAGACCCGGGTTCGATTCCCCACGTGGGTACATTGTGTGAAGCCCATTTTCTGGTGTCCACCGCCGTGATATTGCTGAATTATTGCTATAAGCGGCGTAAAGCTAAACTCACTCACTCACTCTTGTCATCCAGTCTTGTGGATGTGTCTCTCTATCGGTGTCTCTTGTGTTTAGTTCACGTGGATATCCAACGGAAGGGAATTTACTACTTGACCACATAATATGGTTATGAATCACTACCAAATCTTTATGATAACAAGTGTTCACGAAAACCTATGAGCGTATGTTGCACCACCGGTGGGCATCCGTCCCAAACACATGCAATGGCAAATCAATTGTTCACC